GGGCTCTCGACCAATAGGAATAGCTAAACTGTCTGAGGTATTTATGAATAAGTTATAAATATTGCTGGAAGTAGCCGAAGTGCTGTTATTTACGTACACGTACATGTGAGTTACATTTGCAAATAGTGCGCCAAGCATCAAATAAAAGTTGTAGTATTGGGCCACTAGTAAAAAAAAAATTGCTACAAATTATTAACTGGAAAGTATGGGTGTGATGTTGACAACTGAATTTCGTCTGGAAAAATCGACAATCAGTTTACGAGTTGTTTTTACATGGAAACGGATTCCAAATTTAAACATGGGGACCATGTATTCCAATCCTGTGATCGGCTTTCCAGTTCTTCATGTATTTTACGAAGAATCAAGGATGTAGATTTAATTCAAAAGCATTAACCCTAACCTCACCTAAAGCTACAAAACACTACTGAGTAGTAACTTGTAGTATGCATTTCTTTCCATACAAGTGTGCACAACTCATGTAGTATTCTGTAGTATTTGGTCCTTGGCCCCCAAAGAGCCCGGCTTAACATGAATGTATTTTATTCACTTTTTGTTTTGCATGTTTTTGGCATACCAACATGCAACTAGGGCAGGCAGTAGCTTAGACAGTGCATGTATGTTTAACTATGCATTCCCATTTTAAGCTTGTTTTAGTTTTTAAAAATTGACAGTGATAATTTACAGTACAACGTAAGGTATGTTTGAAATAAAAACAGGGAAAACAGCTGGACTGTATTGTATTCACAATAAATGATAGAGCAAAAACTCATTGCAAGAGATCCTTACATATTCCATTACATTGATTCCCATGCTGACTACTTGTGCTCATTTGGCTGATGAAGCAGAATTGATATTGGTCAAAGTAAATTTTACCTGATTGTGCCATAGATGACATCGTTCCGTCTAGATGAGTTGCAACGATTCTTGGATCACTGTCAACCTGCACAGATACAGCAAATTGCTACGTGGTCCAAAGTGCATGATCAGTTCACTGATTTAACACTGTTGAAGGCATCTATAGATGTCCTGTCCGCTAATAAGAAAGCGCAATTATGATTGGGAATGTATTATCATTGTGTGTAAGACTGCTGCATTGGAGTGACCTCAGATCCAGATCAAATTTCATATTCTCTTGTTGGTTTCTAAATTAAAACAATCTTTGTTTCAAGCTTAAGACAATACAAATTATATTAGTGACCGTTCCAAGGCCAAATTTGGAACTGGAAAATTCAATGTGAACATCATCTGAGGCATGTATAATTTAATTTAGTAGTTCCAGTTCTTTACATCAGTAATGCAAATCTCTCCTTTCACTTGGTCAATAAAGTTAACATTAAAAATATTCATTTTCAAAATAAGACTTGTGCTTAATACATGCAGGTGTAACATCATTTTGGTCACAATGCCTGCGTGCAGTTTTAAAGAAAACACTTGTCGGGGACTACACCCATGTGGCAACTTTGGGAGAACTGGAAAGTTTCCAGATTTAGTTCAATGTAATATTGATGGTAGAGAACCTTGATGTACAATGGAGTACACACCTAGAGGTGAAGTTCAGATGTATTGTAATTTTACTGAAAGGCCATCTGCACACTTGTTACATTATACCAATTCTTTCATGATGATGTTCATTTGTAAATCTTAGTTCATTGACAGTGATTGGGTTCTCTGCTACCAATCATACGGATTCGTACCCATAGATAACCCTAGATGAATGATATAAGACAAGCACTGGATCTATTGATAAAGGTTTCATTGAATATGGCCATGCATTGCCTTGAAAAGAGAGTTACCTAAGGCATTAAATCGAGATGGTTTCTATTGTACTAGATTGGTTTGTTGATAGCATCTTGCCTTCTGTATGTTGCCATCACCTCTACCACCATTAGACCAAGTATCCTGGGTGTGATCTGATACATCTTTGTCACAATGCAGTGACTCATTAGCCTTAGGTCTAGTGCGGAGCTACCAGCCAGTCGGCCGGCCAGCCAGCCAGCCCAGCTAGCCAGCCAGCCCAGCTCATGACGTGTTGAGCAAGCAGCGTGCATACATAATGATAGACAGCATCTGCCCAGTGTTATAGAGTGACCCGCTGGAGGACTATGCTAGTCACTATGCTATGCCACTCTTAAATTGAATGGCTTTTGCTTGCTGCTGCTACCTTGGATTTCTGCTGCTGGTTGCAGAGTAGCTTTGTCTGTCAGCAATGGATGTGCATACATCCCACACTCAATTCTATATCTATGTATAGCTGATATTCAGGTGTAGTTTCATGATCACAGGAGCTGAGGTGCACAATGCAGGCAAGATTTCATTCTTTTACCTTTGCTGCTTTTTATACTTAAAATGCATATTATTGGTAAGATGATACTGTTGTGTTTCCTCTTTTGTCTGTTTAGCGTGTTTAGTCTGATCAGTAAACAAGAGTCCATAATGTAACCCTCAGCCACTTTAAAATGATATTAAGTTGACTACAGTGACCTGATTTTCATTTGCGTGTCTAGTACTCTAAATTTATCATTCATAGAAATTAGGTTGCCATTTAGAAATTAAATGTCTGATTTACTATCTTTATTATGTTTTTCGGTCCAGGAAGAAACGTGGTGGAAAATGTATCTTAATATGTATTTTAATATCTTAATAAAATGCAATTTGTAGATACTGGCGTCAGTGGTTATGTCTCAAAATGAACTTGTTTGTAGAAATGTGTGATTGAATGCACTATCTCGGTTTTAGAGGTTTTTTTCTGGAGCTTTATTTCAGAATAATCACACGATTGTACCAGTACATGAATCTCAGAAGTGTAGCTTAATTGTATGTCAAAATAAAGAAGAACGAACCATGATATTGAATGTCTTTATTTTACAACAATCTTTGTTCAACATGTAGTGATGTACAATGTACATGTATTGAATGCAATTCCAACTCGATGTGAAAATACTGTACACGTACATGTACATTATGTTTATCAGGACTGTACACATGTAGGATAGAAAACCTGCACAAAGACCAGATTGTATAGCCTTGTGCACTCAGGTCATGAGGGTACTGCATGCAGATAACACAAGCCTACAGACTCCTTTGTGTTGAGGGAGCCAGACAATGCCTGGCTGGCTTGCTGGGTGTCTGCCAGACTAGTGTACTGCTCCCTGTGTGCATGGGAAATTCCCATTCAGTTATCTGGGCATTATATTTGGAACTGTGCCAGGCTGTGAGTGAGTGCCTTTATATAACACGTGCAGAGACTCTGCGTGGAGTAAGTTCTGAGAAAGTACCTTATTATGTATGCACGTACAATGTAGCTCATTTTGTGACTCGAGTAGAAATTGGACCATGAGCATGTAGGTTGAGCAGGATGAATTGCTGATTTTATTTATTGAACATTTGAAGGACATTTATATGTATTGAAACGTGTGTAAAAGAACTCCTGGACAGTGAAAAATTACACATTTTGTCAGTGTTTGTTTCAAATGTTTGGGCAGAGTTTTTGCTGGAATGAACTTTGTGGTTTATTTGATGAACTGTAAACAAAGAGCCACTGTGTCATATAAGTCTTCATAGTCTGGTTTGCATGAGAGTCTTGAATTAGGGCCCCAAAAATAGTTCCCCCACCGATAACATACCATTTCAAAATGGAATAGGAACATTCAAAAAATTCCTACCATTTATGCTCATTAGATATGGGATAGGAACATTCAAACAAAAATCCTACCATTAATGCTCATCAGATATAGTCAAGGTGCATTCACATCTGATATGATACCAACTGTTTATTTTTCACCTTTTCAATTACTCCATGAAAGTGATCAAAACTGGCCTCATAAAAAAAGTAAAAATTTGTTTGAAATTAATACTAAAGATGAAGGAAATGTTAAATCATACACATCACTACATTCCAAACATTAGTCATGAAACACAGTCCACATCGCTGCTATCGCATGTAACAGTGTGCATCGACACATGAGGACAGGTTTACATTTGTACTTGCGGCAGCCTTTTGGCAAATGACACTGCAGTGTGTTGCTGGCAAGTGCTAATAAATGCATGAAAACGGAAGATACATGTACATGTATGCACTTCAACTTTTTTTTACACAGTCACAATTTTGAACATGTGCATTCAGTATAAACCTCATTGCCTTTGTGGGGGCCCAGGGCGGTATACTGGTTCCTGGTACTTCCAGATCCTTCTGGCTTTGTTAGGACTTTGTCTCCATACTACATACATGTACATGTACATGTACAGCATACAGTGCTTTTACCACACTGCAAAGGAGAACTTGTTATTCGTGTTGGGAGGGAAAATAGTAGGCCTAGATTCAAGTTGGTTTGGTAATGCTCTCACTCATTGACGTAAATTAGCAAACAGAGAAATATGTACAACAGTTGCATTTACAAATTACATGTATGATGTCCAGAGGTTGTTGACAAGCATTTTCTCTGAGATGGACTGGATAAAATGAGTGCATTTTAAACTTGCCCAAAAGTGTTGACCAGGCTGTAAAATTAGGGTCAGCAAAAGTGTTCTCTGTTGGCATGAAAGCTAAGTACACGTATCCAGTCACAAAGCTGTTATGCACATAAACTGTTTCTATCCTGAGAGACCATTGGGACTTTTTAAAAACAGTTCACCAAGTCCAAACAATGTCGTAGTTGGGATTCAATGGAAAACATTTGACATATAATATTGATGCCAAAAAATACTGCAAGCGTAATCACTGAGCTTCTAAAACAACGTGTGATGCATTACATCGGCCATTTAAAAAAAAATGCTTTGCATTACATTATAAGTAGGTACTTACGTAGTTGCTTTGAAGGTTCCCCCCGTAAATTGTGGATATATTTTTGTTTACACCTTCCTTTATTTAAAAGATTCATTAAGCTGTGAACATACATGTATGTACATGTACCCCTTGTCCATAGAAATTATGCAATTGCTAAAAAAATTCTGTTTTTTAGCAGGCTTGTATACATTGAAGCATTTATTGTTCTTGGTTACAGGTGCGATCAGGTGATGTTGGTAAGGTGAACAATATGTTCCAAGCTCTCCAGATAGGCAACGATGGAAGAGAGGTAAGCAGCACTCAACTTATCCAGAATTCTTTCTTTTCTGTTCAAAAAAACAATTTTAAAGATGGGGTGTTTTTAGATCTTGTAATAATTCTGAAATGGTTGTAATAATCATGAGGGAAAAGGAACATGTTCAGTAAGTGTTTTAGCTAACTTAGTTTGGTACTGTGCATTTTTGAAATGTTAAGTACTCACTTATTCTAACTTGGGCTTTGAATATTCAAAATTCACTGATCAAGTTTTACATAGGCCAGCCTAGACTGGCTGCCAATCAGGATTTGTGAATACAAAATTGACACACAGCATACTAAAATAATATAAAAAACATCATGTAGGTATGGATATAATTTTCGAGGTTGTGGAATGGCTGATATTTGGCAGATTTTTAAAGAAATTTGAGCTAATATTCCTCACTTAAAGATATAGTCCATCATTTGTAATTTGTGCATTTTGTTCGTTTAAAGCAACAAAAGTGTTCAAAATCTAATGAAGGATACTGAGCAACTAACCTGATAAAGTTTCAGCTCAGCTTCAGCTGTATATTCCGAGAAAAACAACATTCTAGGATCTCAATTTCAAATCAAAAGTTGCTGAATCATGTTTTGAATTGTTTTGAATTGCAGCTATACGCGATGTCGCGCACTGATCCGACGAATTATAGCAACCGTGCGTCGTGCCAATGCTTGCGCGCGCTGCACCGAATAACAAAACGAACTACTAATTTAAATTTTCCTACGGTGCGTCTTAAGACGCACCGTTGGAAAGGCCTTCTTTCGTTGATTACTTCAAAATGATAGCTTGCCAGAAAGAATAATTTCACAGGGAGTTTAGTCCACTAACTATCTTTCAACCAAGTATGTTTTTCAACAATAATACGCCAGTTACTTTTTCGGATGGCTGCAAATGATGGACTATAGCTTTAAGCTGTCAATCATGTATGTAAATTGTCTTTCAACAAGTTTGGAATTTATAGACAAACAAACCAAAAACATCACCATTGACATTTTCTCATTTCTTTGAGACCGCTTGTATTTTTCTAATATTTGAATCAAAATAATACCATTCTGATATTTAGGAGATGATCGAATATTTGAATATTCAGTACATTTGGCACAGTCCTAAAATGGTCACAATTCAAACAATTTCTAAATGCATAATTAAAAGAGTGTTGAGACAGTCAATGACCCGTCAGTCAGGGGACAATAGGCTGACCTGTTGGGCAAGCAGAAATGTAAGGAAGACATCAAGAGAGTGAGAAGACAGTGACAAAGGAATGACTCAAGATGCGTCATTGTTTGCTGACATTAATGATGAATTTTCCTGACACTTCTTCAATATTTAGATACTCATAAAAACGTTGATGTTTCAGGCTAATGACCCTCATTGTAGTGTTTTATGGAGCCTGTAGAAATCTCAGTCATATGTATTTAAATCAGTAATTTTTATTGTTGCCAATATTAATGATTTGGAAATGGCAACCAATATTACATGCAAGTAATGTTCATCACTTCGTATGGATGATTCAGAGTGCGTCAGTAGATCCATGCCTTCATCTTTCATTAGTAACCCGCCCACATTACCCCCTAGCTTATTCACGCAGCTCCCAGGTTCCTGCGCATGCTTTCCTGTTGTCTCTTCTAGCTAATCAGTACTGGTTGCTGTGCCTCATGTCTGTAGCGTCTGTATAGTGAGCCAGGGCTTTGTTATTCACACTTGTTCCCTGACGGCACTCACAGTCAGTGTTGTAGGTCTGTGGTGATTCAGCATGGTACAGCATTAGTCACGTTGTTTATTTTTAGCATAGGATCCTTTTGTTAATAGATCATACATGTACATGCATTGGAGAAAAAGGGTTTTGATACCTGGGGAGATATATCAGACTCCATGAATGCAATGAAGGTAGGCCATTTTATTTCACCTTTTTTCCAGACGTATTTTTCCATTTATGACCAGGTGTGTTTGTTTTCAGGTTTGCAAAAAAATATTTGTATGACCACGTAGCTGTTGTTGGATACATCTTACAGATATTAAATTCAATTGTTCATCGTGAGGTTTATGGATATCAGTTTTGTTACAAAACTTTAAGTCTGATCGTATGTACTTTCACCTGGACTTTCAGTTTTGTTGGGAAAAATATTACATATTAGCAGTGAAAGTAAAAGGAAACTTTGTACATCTACCGGTATTTTCCACATAATAGTTTAATGGTCACTTACTGTGTTGATTGCGGATTTTTTTTAAATCATAGATGTACCCTCATTCCTTCTTTGTGACACTAAAATGCCTGTGGATATGTGTAGCTCGCAGTGATTACCAATTGTACAAGTACATACTCTGTGAGTGATGTGTATGGGACATTCAGGAATTCATTGAATACTGGATATCTGAGAGACAAACAACATACATGTACATCAATTGGTATGCATTAGTTCTTGTTCCAGCAGGCATGACCTTAGACCAGACATATTTGTGGTTAGGACTCTGACCTTTTGGGCTGGATGCATTGATTGTCAGGTCAAGGGTTAGGTCATTTTACCTTGCAGTGTTTACCTATTTTTGCAGTCATATTCATAATTAGCTGTAATTTGTATTATTTAATCCGGTAATGTGAAATAAATTTGACTTTAATGAGATATCCCTTGATGTTTGATGTTTGTTGTTGAAAATTTAATTTTCAATGCAGCCATCAATTGTGTGATATGTAACATAATTGCACATGTATTAGGCCAAGTAAAAAACAATAATAAAAAAACCTAACAACTGTTGTGAAAAAAAAATGAAAGAGGGCTATATATTTTTTATATTTTATTTTCAAGATGGCTGCCATTTTTTTTTTGATTTCCAACAACTTGACACAGAAGTGAAAGAGACATGTTGGACAGGAGAATTAAACATATTAAAAATGGTTTTAATAATCTGTTTCAGTACGTTTGTAGTACGGTTTCACAAGAGTTAAAAAAACAGCCAAAGATATTTCTATTTTGAGTAAATGGTAAAGGTGTTGTGAACTCAAATTGGGCTTGGTGGCACAGACATGATACAGTATACTTGAATATTCATCTGAGTTCGCTGAGATAAAGAGCTTGTCTTTGCACATGTTGACCTCGACCTAAAAAAAGGGAGACGATAGAGAGAAAGGAAAAATTACAAGCATGATACATGATGTGACTTTTGACGTCTGTGACCACAAATCAAAGCAACAAGAACATTCATGGATGCCATCGTCTTTCATTCAACTAATTACCCAACAAAAACATCACATTTCACCCACAAAATGACTAGATATGCCACCTGAGATACAAGTAGTGATCAAGGATTAGAGAAGTTTCAGACATGCAAAATTATAAGAATAATATTTTCATTAAGTTAAACTAATTTAAAAAATAAATACTAAAATGTATGCAAAATTAGAATTCTGCAATCTACCTGTACATGCATAATAAACGTTGTTTTTGTACATGTAATGACAGATATTTTTTTATACCTTCTATATTCTAAATAATTTCCAAGTAAGTTAATACGTTGTAAAGCATCCAAAATTTGTGTAAAATCGGACACATCCTTTGTGCACAAATTTTAATCCACACGAAGTGAATGACAGGGTTCAGTGCAATTTACATGTATATTTAGTGTTTCCTATGTACAACATGTAATAAATGAACACCGCAATAATTGATTGTTACATGTACGTGTACCAGCACAATTGCACTTGCAAGGACAGCATAAATAATGAGTAGAAAATGATCATATTTATTAGAGACAGTAACCTGAGGACAAACCAGGAAATTCATGATACATGTGTGTGCAGTATGTATTTGCACATGTGCATTTCAGTCATGGATCCACATTTATTTAAGGGTGTACAATTCTTGTGTGGTACGGTATATCTATAATATATATAGGTTCCTTGGGAAAGATGTATGGAAGTTAGTTGGGGCTATTTTTCATGAACTAAAATGTGTCCTGTATCATATCCCTACACAAATGCGAAAGAGAAATTTGACATTTTAGCATGAGGTCAAGCAAAATAATATGTGACCTTTGACCCCGTGAAGGCCACAAACTTAACTTTTTAAATTTTTGTCCAAAACATGGCCTCTTAAAAGATTTGAAGGGGTTGGGACAGAATAGAGTTTTCTCATGTGACCTGACAATTCTAGTCAATTTAAAGGAAATCCTTGAGATAGACTCTGGAAGGTGTGATATGATTTGACATGGAATGACCCCCTGGTGATAATATGGAAAGAGGACACACACAAATTGAAACTTAATACTATTCCATGTTTTGATGTGTAGTTCTTTTATCCTTTTGACAGTTTGACGTTTCGACTAAGAAGTTCTGGGACAATGATGAAAACAAGGGGGATGTGTTCTTGAACCAGTGGCCTGGCCCTGGCAGTCAAACATGGGGAGTGCCTACATCCGGTAAGATGGACAAGGGTATGTCTTGGGGAAGAATGACAAATGGTAAGAAGCAGTAACTGAAGGTTGAACCCTGAGGTAGCCCATAAACCTTGGGGTAAACCTTGAGTTGCTGCTTGTTCATTTTGCATCCTCCCCTTATCCAATAAAGGATTCAAATGACTCATTAGTTTGTGAATCAGATGATGTTGGAATGCAGAGTAACTATGAGAGAGTAAATGACCGGGGGACTTGTGGAATCCCAATCAGAATTGTCATTTATAAATTAAGTGGGAGCAGCCATGATGCTGACATGGCAGTAGAAATGCAGAAATGCATCCTGAAAAAAAACCCAAATTATCAGCTGGAATTTATGTCTTGTGAACTAATACTTTGAAAGAAATGTACACAATTTATAGGAGTAATTTGTTAAATCCTTTTCTTTTTAAATTCTGTTTGAAATGTATGTTAAAATGTGTCAAAGGTAACAGCTGTGTCACATGTATCATTAGAGAGGGTACAAACTAGTAGGAATTGTGAATGTGACCAGGCCCAGCCCAGCCACCCATTGAACTTGATTGCTACTATACAAGGGTTTGTAATGAAACTCATTAATGAGAACCTCTAGTTTGCTGTTGTTTTTGAATAGGCTGAATATTTCATATTCAATAAAGCTCCAATTCAATGCCTTCAAATGAACCATTTCATTCCGAAACAGCAGCGTATTTAATAAAAGACATTTTGTCAACCTGATGTTTTGCACCAAATTCCACACCCTGTTGTGCCAGTAGCTAGCGTTACAATTGCATATCAGGGCAGGAAATGAATTGAAGGCACTACTTAAGAAAACTATTTTGACTAGAAGTAAAGGTAACTGTTGACATGCACTTGACTGGATGTGCTATTTGTCCATAGACCATGCAGTATCACAGCCAATCATGGTACAGCGTCGTCTATCTCCAGCTACCTATCAGGGACAGGAAAGTACTGTGTTGTCCCCACGATCAGACACCGGTGGGTTAGGATTGAGCATGGCAGAGTATGTCTTAGCAACATCACCACAGGGCAAAGCGGATATGGAAGGCAAACTCAACCACCGCATGAAAACAGGATTTGTAAGTCTTTCGATGATTTTAGCCTTTTCATTACAAGGTAGTTACAAGTGATTGTTCAGTGAGCCAAGGCTAAAATGAAATCAAAGCCATATATTTCTCTCATTTGTTGGTTGCCCTTTAGTCGTTTACAAAAATGAAAGCTTCCTCTTTGTTAGTATTATCATGGTCTTCCTAAATGTTATATATTTTTTTGTCTTTAGTATTTGATGGGTTTATTTTCAAAACAGCATTCCAGCTGTATTGATAATTTGAACAGTGAAATGAATACCTCCCTGATTTTAGCCTAGGGGTGTTGTTGTATCAATATGCTAACAACGGTGCATGGCAAATGATCTGGAATTTGGAACAAGCTGTTTCCTGAAAACTGTTCTTCGTGTTAAAGCCCGATAATGTGTCTTTGCTTGACAGCCTGGACCAGGCCCAGCTGGTGATGCAGACCCAACTGGCAAGAATGGCACCAAGAAGAGTAAAACACCGTCTCCATTTGAAGATGAAGGAGAAGAGAAGAATGGAGTAGAGAACAATGGTCTTCCACACAAGGAAGAAGATGGTTCCTACATGTAAGTATAGATAATCATCAATCAGTCTAAATCATTGCAGGTGTTAGCATGGCACCACCATTTGGATATTGGCCTACGATAGTGTAACAATGACTATAAACACAAGTTGTACATATTGCATGGTCTTCATATGATGACAAATATGAAACATAGAGTGCCTTAGTTTTGTAACTAAGTCGGATGTCATGATTGCTATTGTTTGTGTATTTGATCAGGCGTAATCCAGGTAGCCGTAATGCCTCCCCAACTGAGACTGAAGATCCTCGCCTACAGCATGCTCATCAGAACCCCAACATGCCTCCTGATTCCTCCCATCATCAGCAGCAACCTCAACAACAACAACAGCAACAACAACAACAGCAGCACCGGGCAATGTATCAGCAGCACACTCGTAATCAACAGGCTACTGCACATCATGGCTTGACTCAGCAGGAGGTAGCGTACATTGAACAGCAGCAACAACAACAGCAGCAGCAGCAACAGCAGCAACAGGTGGGCTTTTACTGTAATGGTCGTTAACTTGTAAACATAATTTGTATTGAAAAACAAAATACACCATGGACCCACCATGTGATGCTCTTACATTATTGGTGTCATGCATTGCAGTGTACTGCACATCATATGCACAGGCCTACCAAACACATGTCGTCTCATATGTAATAAAAAATGAAACCTAAGTGTAAGTCAATGAGATGTCAGTTAGTAGTTGGGTTTTAGTATGAAATGTCACTCTCAACTGGAAAAGAACGGCTCGGCAAGTCTAGTAAAGCTGGTCCCAGACCAATTTGGTCTTAGAGAAAAGAGAATCCATTTGAGTAGGTCATATATAGTGCAATGCTAAGGATTCTACTCTACCTTATAAAAGGTACCTGGACAGCTTCAGATTGACACGGGACAAATGGACTCTGGTAGTAACATGGGGGACCAGCTACAATTTGACTACACAGCCCAGCAGATGGTGCCTAGTATGGATAGTCCTAGCTATGTAGACTACTCACAAGGGCAGGTAAGAAAGACAACCATACATGTACCCTCATGCTAACCCCCATCCCTCCCCCCCCCATTCCCTTCCCAAACAGTCTTATAGGGCGCAAGGAGAGTTGTAATGACTCAAGTCAATGACTTAACTTTAGTCAGCCTCCAGTCACAATTTTTGGCGACTAGACGCGACGCGAATCCCAACAGGTAACTAATTCGACTTGACTCTTAACACTAGTGCCTTGTGTTCCTTTTTCCATTCTGTAATTTATGAGATGGCCTTCAAATATCAGTGACTCCAATTGACTTATAAATTTGACTCGACTTAACTCGTCTCGACCACGAACTGCGACTCAACACGACCTTGTAAACCAACTCGTTACAGCTCTGGGTGCAAGTCAGATCAGACAACCCTACTCCAAAGGCTCATTGAGCAAATACAGGCGCTCTTATTACAAATGACAATGTATGTTGAAGTACTTTGGATAATGTTTTTGCTGCTTGTCTTTGCTTCTTCATTCCCTATCCTTGCTGATTCAGTTCCAAGAAGTCTTAGAACTCCTCAGCTTTTCTACCTCAATCACAGGCAGGCAGCTTCTCCTTGGATCAGCTGATTTCCTTTCTTTTTCACTTATGCCAATTAAAATTGAAAAACACTGTACACGGTCTTGCAAAGATTGGAGTTTCCTCTTTTTTTGTTACAAGTTGCATGCCTGCAATCACACCAACACGTATCATCAACCTTCCTCTTCAGTATTTTGGAAGAGGTTACTGATTGCTACTTCTTTCATGAACACATTTACATAAATTTAGAAATTCTGCATCAGTTAAAATGCAACCCCTAAGTTCAGTTTAAAAAAAACCTGTTCAATTTTGTTTGTCCTTCCCCAGCCTGGTTCAGTGCAGATGTTCCAGCAGCGGCAAGCAACACCGCAGGCAATCACTGTGCAGCAGTTAACACCACAACAGCAGCAGCAGTATGCCATTGCTGCAGCAGCACAGCAACAGCAACTGGGTAAACATGACACTCAAAATGTACTCCTGTTGGCAAAGATGTAGTTGTGTTGCAGGATATCATTCTTTTCTTGCAACAGCTCATAACATACATTTTCTGAATTGCCTTTGTGTATCCAATGAGATTATTGGTTTACTTAATCTCAACCAATTTTGCTGCTTAATTAATATTCCCAGGAGAATGTTCCAAGTGTTCCTTAGAATTTGTTTGCATAAAAGAGATATGAAATGAATTCACATAGATGAAGTATTACAGTGCAATAAAGAAATCCATGATCCGTGGTCAGTCTGAAAGCATGTAGGTCTCATGGCAGACCCGTTGTATGGGTGATGGTGTTGATGTTGTATAGCATCATTTAGCATTATTTTGTATGTTCTTCAATTTTGTCATGAAAGGTCATGCTACTTTGCAGTTTAACTTGTATACTTGATTTGCTTTTCTTGTTAGGTTTGGCACAGACTGCCTTTGCTCCCAATCCATACATCATAGCTGGGGCTCCCAATGGCCAGGATCCATACTCTGTTGCCATCCCAGGTTAGTGTTCATTTAGTCCTCTTGTACATTATTTGTTCCATGCCTATCTTGGCCGTATAGTAGCACCAACAGAACAGTTCTCACAGGTCACTTAAGATTGTGTCATCAGTCATAGGAAATGTCACCCAGGGTTACTTTTTTCACATCACGACAAACATGAAACAGCCATGCATCTGCTGATGTGCCCATTTGTGCACAATCAATGGCCTTGATTTTCAACAACCACAATCAACAAGGTTTAGGGTCATTCCATGCCAACTCAACAAATGTTGCACACCATCACCTCTTGGATTTTTTTCTTTTTTTGTGTACTGAAAGATACTTAGGAGAAATGCAAATTCTGAAAATTTGGGGTCTCTACGACTTTTCGTTCTTGCGCAACAGCATTTTGAAATTTGAGGTGGGCGGGGCCAAAAGTGCGTCGCGTCACGAAATTCAATGTTTAAAGGGCCATATATTTAAAACTATACACCCCAGACATTTCAAACTTGGTAATCTGGGCTATTTTTTGCTGTAGATTTCAAATATTTAAACAGAAAGAAAGTAGCTTGTTTCATTTTTAAGTTAGAGGGGCCCCCAAATGGCCCAAAACCCATCTGGACCAATGTTTGGGGGGGTGTAAGTCAAAAATTGAAAATATTTTTTTCACCAATTTTTTTGCCTGTAATAGCCCCCAATTGAAACTACTTTCAGGTAAAATCTTACACTTATATTAACTTCATTGAATGAGATATAGCCCTTGCAAAAAGCAAATTTCTTATTTTTACGATAACTTGACCCCCCCAAAAACCAACGTCAGACATTCCGCACCAAATTTTGCTTCACATATGTTTGAGGTTGGTCCTTAGTGAAGTCCTCTGAAAAGTTTCATGTTGGTGTCTAAATGTCTTCAGTGGATAGCTGGGCTTTATAAAGAGTCTATATCTTACGATGCTGCAGGTTCCGTAACATACAAGTACATGTACTTGTATTTTACGGAACCAGCACAACAAAATCCCTGTTGATAGACTGTTGATAGACTTGGGTCAAGACTACCCATTTCCTGCTCAATAAACAGTTGCTTGTAGACCTATGTGTGCATTATATGCAAATTAGGTTAAATGACTTGAGAGTCTTATTCTTTCCATGTGCTCATCACACAGCATGCATGTCATGTATACATTTAATATAACCAGTTCTCACTTGCACAGCATAGTATAGCACTAACCTGAACCAAAGAGAAGTGATTCAGTTTGAGTAAAGGGTCTATGGTTTTAACCTGATTGATCTTAGTTTTCATTATGGATAAGGAACCTAGTTCATGCAGGAAACTCATCATGCACCAATTGTAGCAGCTGACCTCAACCCAGGAAAATATGTTTGTGTGGTCTATGATGATGTTTGGTACATTGCTATTGTAGAAGATGTATCACAACTTCATGAGGATGTGTATGTCTGCTTCATGTACAGGACGGAATCAACAAATACTCTCTATTGGCCACAAAGAGAGGATAAACGTAACATTCCATTTGTTGATGTGTTGTGTTGCATACCAACACCAGAACTTCTACATAGCGGTGGAAGGCAATACAAACTTAGTGAGCCAACCATCATGCAACTCATTCAACTTCATCAAAACTACATCACAAGGAATGCATAATTTCACCTGTGAAACTGTAAACAATTATATCAACTGATCAAAAGTCTACATGTACAAATGTAAGCTAAGTTTCATACCCAACTTATTCTTTATGTACCGACTGCTGTTATTCTTGGTACAATGTACGTGTACTTGTATGTTACGGAACCAGCATCGTAAGATATAGACTCATTATAAAGCCCAGCTATCCACTGAAGACATTTAGACACCAACATGAAACTTTTCAGAGGACTTCACTAAGGACCAACCTCAAACATATGTGAAGCAAAATTTGGGGCGGAATGTCTGACGTTGGTTTTTGGGGGGGTCAAGTTATCGTAAAATTAAGAAATTTGCTTTTTGCAAGGGCTATATCTCATTCAATGAAGTTAATATAAGTGTAAGATTTTACATGAAAGTAGTTTCACTTGGGGGCTATTACAGGCAAAAAAATTGGTGAAAAAAATATTTTCAATTTTTGACTTACACCCCCCCGAACATTGGTCCAGATGAGTTTTGGGCCATTTTGGGGCCCCTTGAACTTAAAAATGAAACAAGCTACTTTCTTTCTGTTAAAATATTTGAAATCTACAGCAAAAAATAGCCCAGATTACCAAGTTTGAAATGTCTGGGGGGTATAGTTTTAAATATATGGCCCTTTAAACATTGAATTTCGTGACGCGACGCACTTTTGGCCCCGCCCACCTCAAATTTCAAAATGCTGTTGTGCAAGAACGAAAAGTCGTAGAGACCCCAAATTTTCAGAATTTGCATTTCTCCTAAGTATCTTTCAGTACACCAAAAAAGAAAAAAATCCAAGAGGTGATGGTGTGCAACATTTGTTGAGTTGGCATGGAATGACCCTTTAGTGTATTCAAGTAATGAGCAAACCAACATCAATGAAAGTGAACCATCAGGATCCACACATAAAGGCATAGTGCTCATTCTGTGCTGTAGTTACTGATTGTGCCCCATGCCATTAGCTGTGCATCTAGAGGTTGTGTCTCTGTGTTACACGAACAGTTCAGCTGTTCATGGCATCAGAAATACTGCTGCACGATATGGGTTGTTATAGAAACTTGTCTGATTCCAAGGATTCTTCAAACATTTCACCCACCAAAGGTGTGCATGATTATTTGAAAAGTTAATCCCCCCCCCCAAAAAAAAATATGCACAGCTTTACTAATTGTTAGGCGTTCTGGCAAAATGAGACAGAGCTGGGTAGAGGTGGAAATGAGGGTTTGTGGGTATTAGGAAAGAGAATAACATTCTCCTTACAATACTGTTTGTTGCACTACAATACTGTTTGTTGCACTTCAGTTGGACATTCTGTTGACAAGTTATGGCTGTTTAAAGTTTACAGTTATTGATATGTCAACAAAGTAAAACACTGAGAAAAGGACTTTAAAGTTTTGAGTTTCTTGTCATGAAAATGAAAGATGCAAATTCTTTTTCATTAAAAAACACTTTTATTCCAGGATTTTTATACTGTTTCTTTAAAATATGTGTAGTAGACATATGAAAGATTACAAATATCAAGAAATTGGAAAATAGAAAAAAAAATAGCCCCATTTGGGTTTTTGTGTGTTTTATTGTGCGTTTTTTTTTGCATTTTACCCCACTACAGCATGTGCCCAGTTCTGTCTCATTTTGCCAGAATGCCTCACATGCTTCACATGAAATTTGATGTCACAAACATTAAGGCCAAAAAAAAAGTCTCCGGTTTCTGGTTTCTGAGCTTGCCCAAAAAGTGGTGCGGCGACGCGGCTTTTTTTTTTTTTTACCCGATTTTTTTGCTTTAAATGTCGGCTGATGACTGCAAATGGTGCCCGACTAAACTTAGTGCAAATTATATGGGAGTCCAGAGAGGCCACATAAAGCTTATTCTCGACCATAACCCAATCTAAAAACACGTTAAAATTGTGCAGCAGCAGGATTCCAGTCAGACCAGTGAGTTTGGCGGTTTTCAGACATAATCTTTCATTGAAAAAAAACATTTTTCATTTTGCCGACGCGCATGGCTACGGCGACGCGCGCGCATACCAGAAACCAGAGACTTTTTTTTTTTGGCCTAAGGGCAGGTCCTGCAGATTTCATATAATGGAACTGTGCATGGAAATGCCTCTACTGCCCCGTTACAAATGCATGGAATGCCCTTCATTTTTGGTTTTAAATTACTGGTAAATTTGACGTACTCAATTAGGCACTGATGTGAAGATATAGGCACAGTTTGTTATAGGACATTCAAAATGGATAATATATTCTCATGGTCAGTAGAGGGTATTCATAGCTGAATCCTTGACTCTTAGACATGCTGGACTTGCACTCAATTGCTGGGCATTGCTAATTCTACCGCTTTGATTCATTCAGGTGGCGCAACTGTTGTACAGCCACAGTACTATGGTGTGGCCCCATGGAGCGTGTATCCAGTTGGTATCATACAACAACAACAAGGTCAACAACAACAAGGGCAGCAACAACAGCCTCAACAACAACAACAACAACAACAGGTAAACCTTCTGTTATGCTTTCATGGTTCAAAGGCGCTAATGGAGTAGTACTCTGCATGGGTCATGTGTGATATATTTCAGGCCATGTACCTGAGCTATAGAAGGCTGTGTGTGACTTACTCAGAAAGCCAAATGAAAACATTTCAATTTGATGTATCTGAGCATCTTAAACATTTGCTGCACCTAAATGCTGATTGCACATTACACTTGACCATTAGTCATCAGCAGTGTAGAGTTATATGGTATGAAAAATAGTACAAATACAGATATGCATATTTCAGATTGAGCAATAACTCAATTATTTATACCTACTTTATTTGTCAATGAGGACAAGAAGTGCTGTCCCTGCCCAGAAAAAAAAGAGGTGTTGGGAATGGTGGATATGTTGAGATCACATCTAGCATGATAACTAGATGATTGAATAATTCAATGAGCCGTTGTGTTACTATTATACCTATCTTGTAATCTTTCATATTTGTTATAGGTACGTGGACAAAATGGCCGCCCAATGACTCCACAACAGCAACAACAACAGCAGCAACAACAGCCACAAGGGGACCAAGCTGGTAACCAGGCTACTAACAACCAAGCTGCAGCCATGGCACAGGCACAAGCACAGGCCCTGCAAGGTACCAGTCATTTTGGCAAGATTCCCTGACAGTGTTAGATTTCAGTCCAATACTTGCAGTTGAGGATGAACTTCCTTTCAGAACAGGATTTTCATTTGAAAAAAAATTGGTTATATTAGTTGTCAAATTAGTGTTCAAAATGCTAGCAGTTATATTGCTATTTGTACGACCTTTAGATTGTGTTGGATAGATCGTTTGCCAACGGTGAGGTGTCTCATGAGAAAATAGAGAAGAAATAAATGGAATAATTTTGTAAAGAGTACATGTACATGTAGATGTCAAAAAGTGTGGGGAAAACTACGCAAAGGAGACCATTCCACGGTTACAAATTTTAAAAAGGAAGTATAATTATGTTTGATGGTATTGAAACAGATGAATTTTCTTGTTGTATTGAGTGATTTTGAACATTTTGAAACTACATTTGTAGGCAATCTTGTCAGTTTTGATAGATTGTTTACTCATTTCTTTATACATGCAATGACTGTTGATTACAGCTGGTTACCAAGTGCTTGCACCAGCCTATTATGACCAAACCGGTGCCCTGATCATCAACCCTAGACCAGGAACAGTTGGTGCACCCATGCGCCTTGTGTCACCAGCACCTGTCATTGTCAGTGCTCCACAACAAGGTATGACACTCACACATAGCCATTGTGCTTTCACTAACCTCAGGGATGTCCATACTGAAGGTTTATTAGCTATAAATTATATCTAACTGACATTCAGATCCTCGTCATTTGATTGGTGAAACTCACATCGCGTGACATTCATTATTGCTCCCATTCATGCCGGGGCTCAAAAAGTCCCATTTGCCCATGGTGAATGGGATTTACTATTCAACAGTTAGGATCATCCTTGTTCCATGGCACAACTGTTGTGTGCAAGTAAATGCTAGTGTGCGTGTATTGCGTATTGTTCCCAAGAGCCAGTAGCAACAGAGTTGGGTCCAAACATTTCGTGAAGGGGTGGTTTGGAATAGAGAAATACATTTCCCACCAATTTTGCATTGAAATAGATGTTCATTTTAACTGTAAATCAAATGACAAGGATCTATATGTCAGTTATATAAAACAAATATTGAGTGGCTTTAAATTGTGAAATGGGAGGAATATTATCGCAAGGTAAAATCTGGACGTTTCCATTTTACGAGGCGAAGAAGTCCAGATTTTACATTGTGATACTTTGAGCCACTCAATATTTGTATACTGTGTACTCGCTGTAATACTCTTTGAGGTTGATGTGGTTGCCTAACAAGAATGGTCACTTGCACTTTGCTGTTACTCTAGGCCAGTGTGTTGGTAAAAACAATACTAAATGTCCATTGAGTTGCCCTTGATAAGCCAGTTTTGGAAACCTAGCCATTGCAAATCATTTGTAAGCACCAGGTAGTGTCTGTGCACTGTAATGATCAAGTCTCACAAAAATTGCTGATGCACAAGGCCCAGTAACAGCTTCTTTCATGCCATATACTAAAAAAAGGAGTGTTTCTCTTTGTCTTGTGTTTTTCGATAATTTCCTCATAGAACTTTTGCTGTGAAAAATGGTCTCTCTTTAACACGCATTGAGTTGAAAGCTGAGCTTTAACAACCTGTTGACAGTTTTGAAAAAGCTTTTGCAGTTTCCTACCCTCCAATATTGGTTTGGGAGCAGATAACATAACGGTATATCAGATAACAATACTGATGCAAAAGATCCTGGGAAAACTGCAGCTTCTTCCCTCGGCTCTCAAAACCTGAAGTCATCCATCTACATTGTGAATAACTGCTTATATAGATCAGAGTGTTGCTTGCATGCATCTATAATGTGCATGCACATTGTAGCTAGAACAATAACAAAGAATATATCAGTGTTAAAATTGATATAAAGAAATGTTAAGATTTACAAATTGATCTTGTAAAATTTCCCAGCACCCACAAACTTGAATACTTTATGTAGTAGTATTATTGGAGATGTAGAAAGGTGTTGTGAACATTCAAAGCATTCCAAATTGTTGATGGTGATGAGTTTATTTACACTCTTTGTTTTGATTACTGTTCATGTTAACATCCATGTGGTCATTTTATCACAAACTCAAATGTGTTATTGTAATATAATAATAAGGCTGCAAAAAAAATGTATGTTTAAGGTAACCTGATCTACTTGGATTTGCAACCAAATTACCGAACTCAAACTTTTTATTGCCACATTTGGCTAACATTAAAACCAAGCTTTAATCCGTCGTACATAAAATTGTTCATTACATGCCCAATTACTGAAAATGAGCACATGCACTCATTTCTTGTCAGCCTCTGTAATGAACGGCCTACCTGCCAATGGTTTTCGTCTGATGGGTAACCAACAGCAAGGTCAACAACAAGGCCCAGCAGCATTGTCTATGTATGGTAGTAATGCCATGGCTTCCAACGCCCCACAGAACAACGCAGGTAGCTTGGGTACATACACACCAACCAGCTCAGTCTTTAGTAATGGCAGCATTGGGGCTGTCGGCTCATCTGTTGGCCCTATTGGAACCAGTAAGTGACATTGAAGGTCTACTTAATTCTATCCATTCATTCATTGTCAGGTTAAAACTGTAAACGTTGAAAAGTTGATCTACAGTAGTTATTGAATGTTAGTGCGTTTACATTTTTCCTGTTTAATAATGTAGAAATGATTCAGGTTTGTTAAGATGATCAAATAATTTGTCCAAGAAGACCTGGTTAAATATCACTTGTTGGGGGATTTATACCTGATACTATTTTGTGGCGGCTTTGGTGTATTCAGATAACAGGGATGTGATTTCTCCGTTTTTTTGGGCCTCAAAAGTTAACCCACGTGAATCATGTGAATCCATTAAGAAAATGGGGGGAGGAGGGGTTAGAATGTATTAATATTAATTCATTATGCCGAAATTTACTTACTCAGTAATTTGCGATGTACATGTATGTAATTGTATTGTATTTGGCCGAACTCCATGCCGTAATGGCTTCGCGCTTCGCGCTCGCCGGAGTTTGCACTTCATGCATACAATTTTCAGGTTTATTTGTCACAGACCAATCGCATCCCTGAGATAATCTTCAGGCTTTGAGAGGCGTGTGGTAGCTTCTGTCTTAAAATAAGGGTTCATTCTGGACACTTCACTGAGCAAATGAATGCTGTGTGAAAACTAGATGCTCTGTTCAGTGTTGATCCTCTATGTGTGTTTGCTGTGGACTGTGTGAATATTATCTCCTTGAAGTTGTCAGCAGACTTGAAGAAAAAACCTAACTTCTCAAAATCCTTCTTTTGCACTCTAAGAAGTTTCCATTTCTTCACATTTCCGTTTATATGAAGAGAGTATGCAATTGAAATTCACCATAGAATTACATCCATAACTGTAATCTCAACATTCTTGTGTAAAGTGATAAAAAGACGAGATCCTCTTTAAAATTGCCATCTTTATTGAACTGTAGCCTTTAGGCATTGTTTTTATTTGAGCCTACAAGAGAAGGCTAGTTTGTACAATCTGACATGACACTCGGGTCTACGTGCCCACACAGAAAGGCATGTTAAGGTGCCATTTAAAGGAATTTCCTGTCAAATCTGATTTTGTGGATATCCGTACCTCTGAATTCTATAGAAATAATGGAACATCTTTCTGAATACATTCCTTTTAAAGGGAATATACATCATTTGCTTTTGCTGTAATTTTCAGAAATGGATGGAATTGGGGGGTTAGAAATATATAGCAAATATAGTTACACTGACTTTTTGGAGGTTTTGGGTTCGAAAATGCTATAAAAACCAAGAAAAACGATCATTTTCCTGTAGTCTGGTTCCCTGACTCTATATAAGAAGAAACAGCAGTTTACATACATTGGGGAATTGTAAGGTCAGGGAACCAGTCTAGCTGGCTCGTACCCGTTCATAGGTTTGTAATCGATTGCAAACAAGTGCAATGGTCAATTGGGTCCAGTATTTGAAAAAAAAAGCCAGTTGTTTCCAACGCTGATCGGCCGATCAGCGTTGGAAATTGATACAAAAATACCACTTTTCTTGAAAATGACAGTATACCAGGTGCCATAATTTTACAGGATGCTTTAGACTGTCATTTACCAACATCCTATTAAGGTATTTCGCAAAAACTTGGTACTTTTATTTTTCGATGTTTGCAAATGTTGTATATTCCCTTTAAAAAGCAATATTATTAGTTGAGTTTTGGCAAAGTGACAGAGATAATGTCCTTGAAGTCAAAACTACGTGTAGCTCCCATTTGCTTTCCATTGACGCTTTCTTTATGTTTGTTTGTAGGCTTGGGTTCTTCTGGTCCGGACTCTCCTACAGCACGTCGTGATTCTCTGACGGGTAGTGACTACAAGCGCCAAGGCCTGTCCATGAGTCAGTTCTATGGCAGCTCACCCCAGCTGGGACCTATAGGAATGCCATCTGCTGGAGGGTCTCTCACCCCACCACCATCACAAAGTGGATTAGGTGGACTTGGACTTGGTAGGAACTCATATTATATTGGTTATGGCTTTGTGCATTGGCAGAAATCAGTAAGGAAGACAAGAATTTGGTTTCTCTTTCTACTTGTTGCATACTTGCCTTAAAATGATGTGAATCTCCTATTCTTGGAATTATTCTTGATATTGTATCGTCATCTTGAAAGACCTTATATTCAATTTAAGTCAAGCAGCGCTTACATGTACGAGTCTAGTTAACAGCGGATCAAGTGCAAATTGTGAACAGCCTTACATATCAGTTGATTGCAAGGTTTTAGCATGTGTGAACCATTGGTAGACAGTGATGTAGGTCTCAAGGCAGGTCTCGGTATCGAGACCGGTCTCGAGACCGATTTTCTTAGATCTCGACTAAAAAACTTGGTCTCGGCCTCTGTCGCGGCGCAAAAGTCTTGTGATCTTGTGGGGTCTTGAACAAACGAGACCTTATTGTTCAGTTGGGAAAAACCACCCCAAAAACAAATAAATTTATAATCTGACCATATCTGATTTACTTTCGAAAGTTTTGATAAATGGTGATATCTATTCTGAGGAACGAAATCAAATAGTCTGGTACCCACATGTCACCGTATTTCTAGTAAAGCAAACCCCCTTGCGGTACTTGGGTACAATGTACTGTACTGCATGCGTTATGCGTGCATACCATATCGAGTTGATCGATCAAGCGCAGCCATGTCGACACACTCAGCCTAAAGTTTGGTTTGAAGACCACACTGAATTCCATGACCGGAAGGCAAACAATTTGAAGCACTCTGCGATCTGCAGATATCGCAAGATACAGCTCACAGAGAGGCTGGCTGGAACAAATTCGGCTTTTCAGCCGAGTTCAAATTAAGTCTGAGTCGCTACGCATCCTGCCGCACAAATGTGGGTTCTCTTGCCTTTTGCAAGTCTATACCAAGCCCACCTCTGGGTACCACCAAAAAAAATAGGATTAGGATCTAAATCTGTAGTCCTGTTTGTGTTTCAGATAACCTGTTGACTGCACCAAGTTCCTCATGGGATCGTACACTTCAGAAGAGAGACTGGGGGGCTGGGAGAGCTGTCAATCCAGCGGCACCCTTTGGTATGGATATTGATAAGTTGAATTATGTACTGATTGACAGATATATCAACAAATGACACGGTGGCTTGAACTGTGACGACATAGTCAAGATAATAATAAAGTTACCATATATTTGTGTTGAAGCAAATAATGTAATCTCACATCAAACCTGCGACTTCGGGATTACCATTCCGGTGCTCGACCAACTGAGCTATCCAGCCCTATATAGGCGGTTCCCTAATTCGTCAGTATTTTTGTTCAAGGGGTGCTAGTCAGAAGGCATTGACCCGTATATGCCATGTGGCCAGGGATCATGCCCAAGGTCACGATGCAGACCTGGCAAATAGCAAGGGGATCACTCAGAGAGAATACGGCTTTCTTTTACAAATTTTCAAATGAACCATAAAGGGAAACTGACTAGGTGAATTATAACAATGTTTAGAAAAGTTGAACAAAGAAATTGACTAAAGCAGGGTTTGAACCTGCGACCTCCGAAAAATCACATTGACTATTTCCTGATTTGTGGCACTTACCTGTGCATTTACACAGATTGTAACGATTTAGATAATAGCAACACCCTGGACAGATGTACAGTCCGTGTTGAGTTTCACTCCGAGAAAATGGATTTGGCTACCTTTCTAACAATACATCTTGTACTTATGAAAGAATTTACTTTTCTTATTTGCGGCCTGATAATATTTAGTTCTCATGGGGTAGACTGGTTTCCAGCCCCCTTTCAGAATTGATAATGTGGGGACTGGAAACGAGTCTACTGGCAGGGCAGAGTTGATTATGTTCAAAAGCAATGTAAAATAGAAGCCCTTTTGAGAAAAAAAATATCCGGGTCTATAGTTCTCAAGAAAAAACTTGATATTTGTTGTAGAGCACAGACAGTGCATCTTGAAGATGTTTTGTTATATTCCTTAAAAGTTTAGGGAGAAGATAAAAAATGAACTCTTTTTCTACTTCAGTTACAATCTTGTTTATGAAACTCATGATCTCTGTTTGCCAAATTAGGGTCAGAGGTGAAGTTCCGTAGTGGAGCTGCCACTACCTCCAGCGGTTGGTCCAACACCCTCTTCCCCCCTCGTAGCCTTCGTAGCTCTGCCTACATGGAGAAGAGTGCTCCTGGACGTAGTCGACTGCTGGAAGACTTCCGCAACAATCGCTTCCCCAACCTTCAGTTGCGGGATCTGTCTGGTCACATTGTGGAGTTCTCACAGGATCAACATGGATCCCGGTTCATTCAGCAGAAACTAGAGAGGGCTACTTCCTCAGAGAGACAAATGGTGGGAAATTGATCATTTATGAGGCTTTGACAAATTAAAACATTTAGGTAGAATTTATTTGGAGATTCAAAGTTGAGTAGCAAAAATGTTGCAGTGGTATCCACTGCTATATGGTCATGGTTGACGGTTCAAAGATAGACTTTGTTCTGTTTGAAATCACCCAATCAAGAATGGTGCAGCTATGTGTAAAATGCTATAATATACTAAGGTTTTGTCCTTAAAAAAAAACGCTGTTAAGTCAGTTCCTTAAATATGGGCAAGATAGTACAAGATAGAGAAACCAGCAGTGCTACGCTCACTTTTGATGTTCTCAAATTGAATTTCCTTAAACTCTGCAATGTGGTGTCTGAGGGATACAAATCCACAAATGATCTAATCTTTAAGCATGTTAGTTTCTTATTCTCAAACCCATCATTTGACTCATTTCTCTTGACAGGTGTTTAGTGAGATACTAGGAGCAGCCTACAGCCTGATGACTGATGTCTTTGGTAACTATGTCATCCAGAAGTTCTTTGAGTTTGGCACCACAGAGCAGAAGCAGGCATTGGCCCAGCGTATCCGAGGCCATGTCCTGCCATTGGCTCTACAGATGTATGGATGTCGTGTCATTCAAAAGGCATTGGAGTCCATTCCTCCAGAGCTTCAGGTGAGACTGATCTAGTAGGCTAACTTTCTTACTATTTTAACTGTGTGTAGAATATATTGCCTCTGTAATAATTATAATTAAAGATATATAATACCGCGATATAAATTAGTCATTGTCTCTAGCAGGCACCATTTGGAGCTGATGTAGGCTCACTTGATGCAAACAGTCCAGGAACAACAGCAAATATTTGTTACAGTGGAACGCTGCTATAGGGAACACCGCTATACCAAACATTAGGCTATACCAAACATCATCCTGGGCTCCTGGTTTTTGTGTAGAAAAGGTACAGAGCATTGTTGTTGAAAAATGTCAACAGATTAGAACAGAAACCACCTAATCTACCGCATAAATCAAATGCTATTTGGGCCGTCTTTAATTCCCGAACGTCAAGCAGCCCGTGCTGTCATCAGACTTTTTGTTGAAGAGTGACAGGTGCTATTATTATCCCAAGGAATATAAGGGAAAAGTCACCTGTTGCTGTAGGTTAAAGTTGAAAAGGTGAATCACAGACAAGTTTCGTGACTTCCCACGCAGGGCTTGAGAAATGCGACTTCACTATAACAATAATCAAAAGAGGGCGCCGCTGATGTGTGAAAACTGCAAACTGTCAGCATCGCCGTATTTGGGTGTTTTTAATGGGATCGATGTCAGCGGTAGCTTTGATTTTGAAAACTAAAGATTAAAATAGAACGGAAAAAAAGGGAACACCTTTATCCAGCTATTCCTCTCCCTTTTCCTGACTCCTCTTTGTCTCTGATGTGTTCATGTATTGTGTCCATTTGTTTAAGTTCTCCATTCATGATTACACAAAACTTGACAACCACATTTTTTTTTTTAGAAATAAAGCTATATAAAAAGAAAATTTAAAACTTTTTTTAAATAAACAACTTTGCAGCAATTTCTTATTAAAACTATTACTCAAAATAAAATTAAAATGTAATCAACATTATTGGATGTGCAAACAGCAAAAAAGGGAAATAAACACTTAACAAATCCAATCAAAAGAGGGCGCACTTCAAGTAGTGTGCAAGAGGGCGCTTTTTAAAGGAGGGTGCCATCTTGAAAATTTCACTGCCGGAGAACCGGTGGCTTAAAATCGTTATATGGAACGTTCATTATTACGAAACAATTCATGTGGATCCAGCAATGTTCGTCATAGCGGAGTTCCACTGTAAGTTTGTTCATAACTGAGACCGTATGATGTATTGTTTGTGGAATCATGTGGTAGTAGATGTAAGGCCAAAAAAAAAAAAATTAGTCGGTCTCTGGTCAGCGCGCGCGTCGATTTTAATCATGCGCGTCGATCTTTTTTTTTTCCCAAAATGTTCCGCGGTAGCTCCAACAGCGCCCTCTATTTCCGCCCCTCCTCAATTTTTTTTACAAAAGAGCACCAAGGAATGGGAAATTGCACCAAGGCAAATTATGGAGGACACCAATGTACATGAGAACACCAAAAAAGCAAAATAGTACCCCACCTGGTCTGTACAATCCAAGCATTGAAGAAAAAAAAAAGAAGCCACGTGGCCGTGTCAATTCTGGAACTTTGGTCTGACCAGAGACCGAATATTTTTTTGGGGGGCCTAATCCAACATTTGATATGCTTGACTGATGACATTTTATAATGTTACCATTGTGACCTTTGAGACCTTTGATCTTTGACCCGTCAGCTGGAGGTCGTTCAGGAGCTAGATGGTCATGTCTTGAAGTGTGTCAAGGATCAGAATGGCAATCATGTAGTACAGAAGTGCATAGAGTGTGTGGATCCTGTGGGTCTGCAGTTCATCGTAGAGGCCTTCCGTGCTCAGGTCTTCTCCCTGTCTACTCATCCCTATGGATGTCGTGTCATCCAACGTATCCTAGAACACTGCACGGTAGACCAGACCAAGCCATTACTGGATGAACTACATGAGCACACAGAACAACTTGTACAGGATCAATATGGCAATTATGTCATACAGGTAGGTAGCCACAAACACCTGTTCTATTTTCATTAGGGCAGTAGAAGTTCCCAGTGTTGACAAAATAATACATGTATAGAGACTGGGTTTGCACAAAAGCATAGGGATATTTAGAGCCTGCCTACCTCTGGGACTATTGGAAATTTAAACGTGACCTGTCCCACGCAAAACCTAAATGCTTCACATTTCCATCATATCCTAAGCAGACCAAAACATAAAAAGAAAATGATTAGAATGAAATCAGGTGTTAAGAAAATGGACTAACCTAGTTCTTCCAAGTTTCCAGATACATTGGGTCGGTATAAATGCTAACATGTCATAAATATTGATGTTGACAAAATGGTAAATGGAGGAAGAATTTGTTTTTGCCTGTTGGGTAAAACATTACAAGTCACTTTATGATCTTGATTTGTTTATAAGTGACCAGATAAGTCAATGCTCCATGGCCGTTACGTTTATCTCTAGCTTGATTAGTCTGCAAGTCAAGATTAAAATGTTGTTATTCTATGAAATGTCGTCATTTCTTTTAAGGTCTTCTCAATCCTTTTAAATTATCATGGTTATATCATTGCAACAATGTTTCTGGTTAAATATATGAAAAAAAAACCAATTGAATCTAAGTCATCATGTGGTTCATTTTCCAAGATGGAGCCACATATTACCATAATCATATTTCTTGTATCTCAGTGCATGTCATTAGGATGTGGGAGAAGCAACAAACTGTCAGGGTACCGTGCACTCAGCTAGACTGACTTCCTCATAGATAGATATCTTGCATTATACACACCGACAGTAAAGCATGATTGAATCAGTCATACATTTGGAAGAAAATTGAATGCATTTATAACTGGGCTCCCCACACTCTTTACTCAAGTAGTTTCTCAGCTGAGACATTTTTTGCCCAATCCAAAGAATCAGAAGTGTGCAGGTGCTTTATAACTTGGTTGTGATTGTTTGAATTAGCACGTGTTGGAGCATGGTCGTCCTGAGGATAAGAGCAAGATTGTGGCAGAGCTGAGAGGAAATGTGCTACCCCTCAGCCAGCACAAATTTGCCAGGTAGGAGACTCATCAAAGACTTTCACAAACAACATTTCACATATTACCTCAGCCTCTTTATGGACTACTGTAAAACAAGTTGTGCTTGATCATCTTTTTTTTGGGGGGGGGGGGGGTGGGGGGGGGGGAGTAAAGAATGATGTACAAACTGTTTAACTCATGGTGTTGTAAAACTAGCCTCCCAAGATGGTCAATGGAGCATTCGGTTTAGCCGAGGGAAATGGAACACTCCATGGATCAACAAGGGAGGCTAGTTTTATAATGTCTCGCCCACAGATTCTGCTTAATTTCAAGATACAGGGTGAGTCCAGAAAAACGAAACCCAAATGTGGGAACTATTGTTTTAGTGAGGTTCTTTATGTAGCACTTTGAAAATCTAGGATATGAAAGCCCAATTCATAAGCTTTCTTTTAGTACATTCAAATCACACATGTACTTTTCAAGTTACGGAGCTTTAAACACAACCACTGTGTTAAAGTTCTGTCCACGGATCCAAAAAAAATGTGTGCGTTCTTTCAGCAAACCGAAAACAATTCACGCACATCCCTATGTGATTTGTTTTCGTTTTGCTGAAAGAACACTGAAGTTTTTTGTGATCTGTGGACAGAACCTTAAAACGGTGATTGTGTTTAAAATTCTGTAACTTGAAAAGTACATTAGTGATTTGAGTGATTCTTGTACTAAAAGAAAGCTTATGAATTGGGCTTTCATGTCCTAGATTTTGAAAGTGCTACATGTAGAAGTTCACTTAAACAATAGTCCCGACATGTGGGTTTCGTTTTTTTTTCTCACCCTGTACATGTATAAGTGATTACTTTGACCAAAATCCAATCAAAACATACTTTTATTTCAATATGAAATTAGTTGAAGATTTACTTGCACTTTTCCAAACTACCCCTTCATGAAAGGTTTGAACCCAACTCTAAAGCGCTGGCGCGTGGGACAATATGCACAATGTACACACCCATATGCATTTGCACACATGCATACCGGATTGCTATGCTGCTTGCTATGTGTATGGTACGTTTTCAGCTGTTGTATAGTCTTTTTGGCCATGCACAGCAAAATAGTAAAAATAGAAAATGCCATGTGACTCGCTCTCGGCCAATCAAGATCCAGAATCTGTAGGTGAGGGTGTTATAAATACAATTATGGTCTTGTACTACACAGTGTCTACTTTGACTTATTATGCAGGCATGCAACTTTTCCTCGGATCAGCTGATTTCCTCTTTTTTTACTTCCCATGTGTGCCATTGAAAATAGAAAAACACTGTACAAAGTCTGGGAAAAATTTGAATTTCCTCTTTTTTTGTGATTTCGCAGTTGCATGCCTGATTATGGTGTCTATGATATTTTACACTTTTCTTTGGAAATCTGACACATATGTGTTTCGCAGTATTGAAGTAATTGTGATGTTTGTGTTTTTGTTAGCAATGTGGTTGAGAAGTGTGTGACACACAGTTCTCGTCCAGAGAGGGCGCTACTTATTGATGAGGTCTGCTCTTTTAATGATGGGTAAGTCGCATGACAGATATCTCAGATGTGAAGAATTACTCTGTTTTCTTTCCAGTCATAAAACAGTGTTTGGAATTGTAACAGAAGAAAGCCTGTTTGGAAATAATGAATAATAAAAAGCAAATTTTTGTTTGTTCAAGCATCACATTGCTAGCGAGGATGTGTGGAAAGATTTGAGACAAGTCAGAGCCTGACAGTAAATTAGTTGATGATTCACACTTATTCCAATTCCTATCTAGAAACAACAGTTCCTTGTACACCATGATGAAAGACCAGTATGCCAACTACGTTGTACAGAAGATGATTGATGTTGCTGAGCCCAACCAGCGCAAGATCCTGATGCACAAGATACGGCCACATGTTGGCACACTGCGCAAGTTTACCTATGGCAAGCACATCCTGGCCAAGTTGGAGAAGTTCTTCATGAAGAGCAGCAATGACCTGGGACCCATTGGTGGGCCTCCTAATGGGAGCCTCTCTGTTTGAGTGCATGGCCTTCCAGACTCAGTTGATGGCCTTCAAGAGTTTGTTGATGGCCTTCCAAAGCCAGTTGAGCTCCACTTCTGATCATGGCCTTTTGGTCTTTGGTAAGTTAACTGTAGGTTTTTTAAGGTTTTGAACTGGATGGTGTAAGCTTTAAGCTTGTCTGAGTTTGATGTGAGACAGTTTATTGGTGGTTGTTGAAAGGATATTGTTTGACATAAACTACGAATGCATGTCTTTAATTATTGTTAGTTTCATGAGGGGGTCATTTATGGCTTGGATTTAGGCTTTGTGAATTTTTTCCGTCATCTTTATATTGCTTTGATTTATTGAATACAAAATTCTTTTGATGATTGAATATGTGAGTGAATACATATTTTTAAGGTAAGTGGCAGACAAAAGATGTGGTGGTGTAAAAAAAAAAACAAAAAAAAATCTGAAAGATAAAATATTACCATAAATTGGGAGCTTACTTGAAGAGTTGAACACTTATTATGAAAAAGGAAAACTTGATTATGTAATGTTCTATGAATCATTACAAAAACTTTTAGTTTGAAATGTTTTGTATGTCTTTTTAATTTTTTTATGTTCTTTATTACTGTAAAGAAACATTTTACATCTTTTTTTGTGTCGGAGGCGAGGTCGTCGTGGTCTTCAGTTAGTTAATTTTAAAAAGGTGGAAGGATTTCTACATTTGTTGAATATCTGGGTTCTATCATTTGTAAGGAGTGATGATGTTTGCTTTTCAAACTTGAATTTTTATTTCATTTTTTAATCATTACAAGTTTTTCAGTAATGCTCAATAGCATGTAAGTATTTAGAAAATACTAAACAGACAAAAAGTGCCGGCTTTGTTTTTTTTTCCCGGATTTACTGTAGTTTTTGTGGAGTGTTTGAACATAAAAAGGCTCAGATTTATTATTATGCTTGCTTTGTAAGAAACACCCTTTGTAGAAAATGTAGACATAATAGAATATGTATAGTATATGCAGTGTTTTTGTAGATAGTGGTGACCATTTAGAGCCATAGTTGGTGTAGGAACAGAGCACTTCATTTCTGCAGGAATTTGGATGAAAATGTTTAGAGTGTACATTTTTCAAGAAAGTCAATTTTGTTATTAAAAAAAATATGACAAACCATGTTTACAATTATTCAAGGATTTTAGATCCCTAAAAAGAATGCCAACTTGCCAAGCATTGGTGTTGATCAAGTGCTCCCTTACCTACTATGGCTCTAGATATCATTCATATCTCAGTCATTTTGGAACAATAGGGATATATGGTTGTATATGTATTGGTGTAAGATTGCATATAATTGAATATACATTTAGTGGCATACAGTAGAATAGGTGTCTAGACAGTCTAGTTGTAATTTTGGCTTACTTGTAAGTTTTGCTGTCTCTTTTCAAACCATTTTTTTTTATATTCCCATGAAAATTCCCTGTCCTCAAAATGAATTTTGAAAAAGAAAATGCTTAATTCACAAACCTACAAAATGTAAAAATATAAGTATTTTTTAATCAGGTAAAAACACAAACAGTCTTCTTGAGAACATTTGTCATGCTTGCATTTGGATTTTGTTCCTCCCGAGTGTCTTGTTTTGTAAGTAAGGCAAATTAGCTGCGCTGTTTGTTCCTTATCAAAATAGAAGCTAAGCACGTTGTCTGTAGGTGAATTCAGTCTTCCAGTATGTGCCTTGGTATTATAAAGGACAGTGTATTGCAAATTTTGTTCTACCCAAATTTCCATCACATTTTAATTTACAGTTAAACAAGAGCTTGAAACCAAAACAATTTCACGATTAATGTGACATCCAAACAACTGAACTTTGAGTCTTCATATTTTCTACATTAAGAAAAATCCACCGCCCTGATTATTTGTTGGTTTTATTGTCTTTTTGTTTTCCAAGTCGGATACTTCCCTTTGTACCCTTTCAGCTCCTCATCCAGGATATCGGCCAGACGGCCACACTTGAGATATCCTAGGATATTTGGATGTGCACTCCAAATATATGGGATGCAGGGTCCAATTATGTGAGAAGTATATGAAAACTGAACAGGTGAACTCAATGTTACCTAGTGATATTGGTTGCATGAAAGATGAAAATTGATAAGGAAAACATACAGTATCAGTGGATTATTTGGTAAACTTTTGAGTGATTTCATTGGTTACTTGAAGTAAAATGTGATATTGCATTGGTTGCTCTTGTATAGGAGCTTTGTTGGCAACTTAATTTGAAAAGGAGCAGCCCAGGTCCAAAGAGTCTGGATGCAGAAGCCACAAAAACAGGTGAAGTCATCTTCTCAACAGAAGATGAAAGTTCTTGTCTGTATTTTGAGGTTGAGTTGTCTGGAACACATGGATTATTTGGGCTGTAGTTGCTGAGTAGAAATTAAGGGACAGAATTGTCATGTGGGATATGTGCTCTCCATCTAAGTCTGCCATCTGCCATCTTGGTGGAAACGGTATCATTGATCAGTATCCAAGACATATGAAAAGAAAACACCATGCTACCCAACCCAGAAGGTTTTCCGAATACTTCTTGAACAGCTTCTTTTTTTAGTTTAAACTATAGAATTTTAGGTTTATTAATTGTATTTTAAATGTACATTTGAATTGTTGGGGTTTTTTTTTGTAAATTTATTTCTGACCCTTTTGCTGATTCCAAACATGTAAAAGTTGACAATTTGGTTTTGTTCAATCCTTTTTTAAGGTTTTGGCAATTAGTACATGCGGATCAAAGAATGCCCAAATTGTCAAAGAAAAACCAGTCAAACCAGTCGCACATAATGATGGTGACTGCTGAAAAGTTGCCACATTGTATACGCATTGCAATGTTAGTCGGTGTCAAGTTTGCCTGATGATAAATTTGTTACCCCACTTGTGCTTGTGGAACACGAAAAATGTAGTGCATCTGTGTCGCATATGCTGCGAGGCCGAGTTCTAGGCCTGTTTGCTTGTGGGTTAACTTATAGTGAGTGTTCCTAGTGTGTCTCCAAGTGGATCATGCAATCCTTGAGTGAATATGCACATGAATAGACTAACTGTCCATAATGGAAATGCCTTACTTTCCCTTGCATTTGTCTGTTTGAACAGGTGTTAGCATTTACATCCCGTATATCGGATATTCTCCTACATGAGCTCTTTGGTCTAAGGACTTGACATTAAGACCTACTGCTTCAAGCATTCATTACTATAACAAGTTGTCAGTGGGCAATGCTTTATCCAACAGACTCAAGTTTTTGATTTGTAAAAAAAATAATGTTGTACTGCACTGTCCATCAAGCAGCAAGGCATAGCTGGTTCCATTGGTGCTAAACATTTGTTTGTAAAGAAAATCGTTTTCCACTTAAATAGCTATCCACACTTTCTGTGGGTACCTCTGTACATTACGTCGGCCATTTTTTGCATTGGTTCGACCCTGTAAATTACTGTACCAAATTAAATAAGTCATGAGACCTAAGGACAACAATATGTACAAGTATGACGTTTTTGGTGATTTGCCAAATGTCCATGGCTGTTTTCCTATGGCCTTAAGCATCATGCCTAATCTACCCTTATCTTGTTGGGCCCAGTTATCATAATCATTTCAAGCTGGTGTGTAAATGTAGACCACTCAGTTGAGTAGTGTATGGCAAATTAATTTGTGTCTAGAACATTTCACATAGTTGTGTGTGTGGAAGGACATTGTAGTAATTCATGCAGCAAGCTGCCTGTCTGGTGTCCCATGTATCAAATATTGCACTGATTTTCTGGGTCTTATTCTGATAAAAGAAATTGACAAGATGCTTGCTACCTAGAAGCCATCTTCTAATAATCATGAAATGTTGACATTGGCTTAAATGTTTAAACCCAAAATGTGATGTCCAATGCCCAATTTGATATGTATGTGTATATGCAACAAACTCCATTCAATCAGGTCATTAGCAAGTCAAGAGTACATTACTCGTACATTCATCCTCAACCTGTTCACAATGTGGTGTCAACAAGCATCACTCTAAGCTAGTTATGCTTGTAATAGGTGGTTTTGTTACATCCAGATTACAGCAACAAAAGCTTGCAAAAATTGTAGATTCTTTTGGACTTAGACTTATTGCCATGAGACTGTGAGACATGTTTCATGTGACTTAATACTAGATATAATAGTCACTTTCCAAGTAAAATGTGTACAGTACAATACCTGATGTGAATGAATATGCACCAGCAAATGTACAAAATGTTCCATAGATTTTGAACAATTTTTTTGAATATTGACAATACCAGACAATATATGTACAGTTTTTTGCCTAGTAAGTCGTTTTTGCCAACTAAATTAGATGTGAGATGCCACTCCTTTTGGCACTGCAATGATTTTGATACAACACAGAAGAAATTATTTTTCTTTCAGATTTGCTGCCCTTAAGAAATTGTGAATATCAATTTGGCCATTTTTTATCATGGTTTTTTGGATTAGTGCTTAGATGTATTGTATTATAATTCCACATTGACAAGTCGGCTACATTTCAAAGGGCTTGGTGTATATTGAATATTTTCTTGCAAAACATTAATGGGGAATTTTTTTAATCCCAAAAATTGTTGATATTTTGTCGGTCTTATTGCTTCTTTATATCTATATATTTCTCTGTTGTCTTTTTCGTTGGTTGCTTATAATTTTTGGGTTGTCAGGAGATTTTGTTATAAATATCTTATAAAAACGAGGATTAATTTTATTTGTGCATACTAAGGTACCCTCAAGAACTGGCTGGTTTGTAATATGTTTCCTCCAGTAAGCATGTATACATTGTAGATTTATTATTGATACTGTAATTGCAAATAGTGAACAATCCTGAACATTTTCTGCTACTGACCTGTATAAAAAAAGATTATGTACAAAAGATGTAAATTCCCGAGTAAACTATGAAACAATAATGTATAAAAGACTTCCTGCCGGAAATACAGTTTGACATGATGTTGATAGTGAAATGAGGTCGTTCCACCATTAAATTACAACTTTAATTGTTGGTGCAAAAGTAGGGTTTTTTCGGGTGGGGGTAGTTTGTTTGTTGCTGGGGTACACAGATATAATAAGTGGCCTTTGACTATGCAAGATTTTAATTGAAAAAAAAAATGTAATAAAAAAATACGTCAGGAGAAAACGTTATCACGTTAAAAAATTGTTTACAGTACATCTTTAATAAGCTCCATTTAATCCCAATTGAATGTTGACACGTGAGATTGGTCATGCATACTTTGTGTTTGATTCTTCAGCTGCTTTTGATAGCACACGACTTCATCGTCATTCTTTTTTTATCCCATCCATATAGAATCTGTGTTTTATTTATAAAAAAAAAAAATTCCAAAAAAACATAAAACAACAACATATTGCATGTGAAGAAGACAAGAGGATTACTCAAAGTTGAGAGACAAAGAAGCACCAACAATTATAGTGTGGACATTGAATGGTGGGGGACTTCCTACCCTTCTGTACCAAAACGACGTTGTAAATTTGTAGTTTTATTCTTTTCTCTTAGTCTCCCCCCCCCCCGAAACTTGGTCATTGTGACATGTTAAAACATAAAAGCGTACTCCCATTGACCCTTCGATACGCCAACATTGTAACAGTCTTGCAGTTGATTATTTTGGTCGATGTTTCTGTAAAAAAGAAAACAGATTCTATCCATAATTGAATTCTTTCTGTCCGGTCTTTCCCTCAAGTTCAACTAAATCATACAAAACCTAAAAATAGTGCCTTGAGCAAATTATTCTTTGTAATAACAATAGTTGATTTGCATTTATAATCCTCAGCATTGTAAATGGTGTAAAAATGAAATCAGCGCATTTGGCGGAATTTTTGGTAAAAGACAATTCTTTTCTTTCAATTTGGATATCTCTTTTTCTATCAATGTACCCTAATTTGTAGATGCTTGTGCTTAAGAATCCGTGCCCTGTAATTCTTTTGTCAACACAGTCCTTATACTAAATGGAACGCCTTATATTTGGAAGGTTGTCTAGTTTCAAGTTGAATGGGTTTTTGTTCACTGTGTATAGTATGTGACTGGTGTACCTTTCGTTGAGGGTCAGTGTTCATGTGCTTGGTGTGTGCAAGTTGACACAAATCTCCGATTTCTGGCAATATCCTCCGTGTGTCACGTGTCGGGTCTCCCAGGAACTGAGTAGCAAATTAAATTGGGAAAAATGCTTCGAGATAAGTGACCAGTGTCTCAACATAAAAGGAAAACGCACTGTTTGTGTCTGTATAGATTAACCAAGTTCATCGTGCCAAGCATGTTGTGCACAGAGTATATTACGGTCTTGTAAAATTTAGTGGAAATATTTTCTTTGTAAGATTATGTAATCTATGTCGTTCTTTGGACCTGCACATTTTTGAAGACAGCTACAAACTTTTGGTACAGAAAACATCGGTGTACATTGATGTATTATCGCGTTCGAACCAAGTAAATAAAAGAAATAGACGTTTGTAATCAAAGTATGAACATAGTATATGAATAACGGTAAATAAATTGTAAATGCTTTCTCCTTCCCAAGGTAATATAAATAGGCCAACGTGCCAAAATTTGTTAAATAACCATTTCTCTGTGTATACATGTGCCGTAAATGAGATAATTTATTTCCTGTTTGATAAATTTCTTTGAACTTTTTTTTTCTTTTTGGGAAGAAACAAATTATTAAAATATGGCCGTTGTAGATTTGTGTAATTAATGTAATATTTTTCTTTTGTGGCAAGGTGTTTTCGCTGATATAATTTTACAGTTTTATTTTTAGTTTCACATTGCAGAGCAGAGTTCAACAAACTCTAGCGAGTATTGAACCTTTATTCTGTTTCCTTCCGTAGTGATTTTTGATATTGTATTCAAATGCAAACTGGGTTTTTTTGGCGTGATGCCAAAGTAAGAACACTAAGGACGGACAATGAATGGTCATTCGTTGTAAACCTCGTGAAAGTTATCTCGAGATGTTTATAGTGAAATGTAGTGTATAATGGATATGCGTATGCTGTGCAACGCGTCCAGTGAACAGAGATGTCTTTTAAGAGTTTAGAAAAGTTGTATTAAAAAGCTGATACAAGTGTAATTGCCTAGTTTATGCGCATTAATAATTGTACTTCTAGTACCGCTTCAGTGTTTATTAACAGGCAGAAAAACTCCCATCCATCATAGGTTTTGACTTATTTACTCAATAAAATTTCCAGCTTTTGCAAATGTGACATTTTGCTCACCAATGTGGCTATATTTTGTACAGTGTACTGGCCGAGTTGCGTAACTGTGGATTTGCCCTGATAATACATCCGAACACCTTTGGTTATTCAGTTGAATTTCCTTCAATCGTTGCTTGAGGACGAGGCGGCCACGGACGCAAGTCTGTGCCGAATTATGATGATGATGTTCCATGAATTGAACTTTTTGTTTCGGAGTGTAACTCTGGAATCGAATGATTATAATAAACAGTTCACTTTCACATGTCACGGTAACCAAAGAATTATACATTCGATGTGCCGGTAAATTGCCGTGATTTGTATAGAACTTATTGCATTGAATAAGAAATCTGGCTGGTTCTATAACCACTTGTTTGGGTTAGAATTTCTGTTTAATTCAACCAAAAGTTGTAGTCATACAAAACCAAATTAGATTTGCACTTGAATGACCACAAGTTTTGGTTTGATTTTACAGAAATTCGAACCCAAACAATAATTGTGTAAAGAACAACCCGATTTATGGTAGTTGCAGTGTTCACCCTTTCTTGGGTAAAATTAACCCAGGCAATTTTTCAGTGTGGGCGTTGCACGGGGGGCCCGGAAAAGCCAAAAAAAGGGGAAAAAGAGGCGCGAAGTCATATGGGTTGGTGGGGAATATCCCTGCCCCCTCGAAAAATGATAAATCGAGAATATGCTGGAAAAGTACATGGATTTCGGGGGGGAAATGTGCTTTGCCCCCTCTGGAAAAAAATACTGGCGACGCTCGTAGTTACCGTTTTGTCGATGTTGTAGAACAACCATGGTGATTAGTAGCGGATCAAGAGAGGGGTTTTGGGTCACAACCCCCCCCCCCCCCCGCCCCCGCTGACTAATGTTATGATACTATAATAAATGGAATGCTGAAGTTGCTAAATTCATTATGAAATTGCCTCAGAGTGCAGAAGAAAGCATCGTAGAATTCAACATTTATCCGGAGGCAAGCTTCCGGACCGCACGCCTTCACTCACCCCTTTCATATCAATCCCCCCCCCCCCTTCCCGTTCCCTGAAAGCTAGATCCGATCCGCCACTGGTGATTGTCGAATAATTATCGGATTATAAATTAATTCATATATGCATGAAACACCGATATTAATGCTAAAACATGTATTTCAATAAGATATTGAGCCAAACTTACTAAGAGGTATAATACCAGCATCATTGTTCGGATATACATTGTATTATCTTTGTATAAGCACTCCAGGACTCTTTCCTAAAACGACACATTTGCACCTGAGTTGAATAGTGTTAATATGGCTATACAGCCCGTCATGAACATATGTTGTTTCATATTGTCTCATTTCATTTGGTAACTTCACCTTACCCAGATCATTGTTTTAAATTATTGTCCAACTGAATTAATTACGGACTGATACAAAAGTAAGTGCTCTCGTCGTCGAGGGAGTTACCAAAAGTCTAAATGATTTATTTACCCCCTTTTTCCTGCCTGGTCATTTTACAAAAGTATAGACGACTTTCTGATTAATATCAAGCCTGTCCCGGTTTAACAGGACTTAGCGCTTACTGAATGAATTTAAGGTCAAAGAAATATTTGAGATCCGTGTAAGAAAAAAAATACCCTAAAATGGAAAAAGTTTTAATAGTTGGTAGCTTAGTCTTTTTAATAGTAGATTACATATTGTGTTGGTGTTACAACTTAAAATTAATGCATGCGTACATACAAATTAATGTGAATTATCCCAGTGTAACCCCGAAAGTTTAATTCTGTAATGCTAACTGGACAACAATTTAACTGTTATGATTGAAACTGTGTAATCATTGTGCTGAATTAGTATTCGGCTGAATCGGCATTCTTTCGAAGATCATACTTGAGTCCCTCTTAAAGAGTGAAGGCATTAGAACCATAAGCCCACGTTGCTTGGAGGATTCGGGAGGAGAAATGATGCGAATGACATCCTGAAGCAGACACAGTAATATCGCTGCCATGGTAGCACTATATAGGAAGAATGTTGCGTGGAAACTCCCAGTCGCATCAGAAAGCCAACCTAACAAGGAATCAGACAAAACCGAAAATGTCATTTCTTAACACCACATCCAATCTTTCAATCATTCTTGTATTAATTCGAGGGTCCTCGTACTTGTGGTAACTGCTAAGATATGAATGCACTCCAATTTGACTTTACAGATGATTTCATAGATGACGTCGCACGAAACAACTTGGTCTTTACTTAGAGTCAAGACGTCACGTAATTCGTCTGGCCTTGGGTATACCGGGTATAAGTTGTCTATGTACAGCATATAAGTCCCGTGGAACCATTGAACCGTTGATTTCAACGCTGTGACGAGTTGCTTAACATTTATCAAAGTCTCATAAAGGGGAATTCATTGCATCGATGGATTATACTGAAATGATTGAAATGATTTACCTGATAGAGTATCTCCAATGGAAGCAGCTGCCCCACTCAGAAATGTCTGCCAGCCAAACACAATGACAAATTTGTCGTCACCAAAAGGTAGCCACCTCGTCATGACAAGTATCCCTTGCACTGTACAACCCATACCGACTCCTACTATCAACACGAGCACAGTTTGACCAACGAATGAGGCGACGAAGGGCTGCAAAAGTAATCCCAGGACAGAAACAATCACTGCAAGGACCTCAACATTTTGAACCGATAGCACCTTGATGTGGAAAGTCCAAGCAGAGAGAAGCATTCCAGCCAGGTCCCCAACCCCCCAAGCGGTAGTCAGGAATGCCACCTCGCTGGTTGTCAGACCAAGCGCCAGACCATTAGGCACGATGTAGATGACCGATCCGCCGAATGCAATACTATACAGCATTCTTTTAGCGGCCAGAATCATGAAGTCAGCACTGAAGAATACCTCGAGACATAGTGCCGAGAAAACTGAATTCAAGGGGTTGGAGACAACTCTCTTAGTTGGTTTGGCTTCATCTGTAGATATACCAGGAGAGTTTTTACCATCAATTGTGTGGTGCTCCTCGTGGTCGGGGACTTCTTGATACGAAGCTGTCGGCCTTCGTACCAACATCCCTCCTAAAACAAGATGGAAACTAAACCCACCTAAGAGAAGCATTGCTCCTCGCCAACCGTACGTATCCATGAGAACTTGGGTTATTGGTCCGTACAGCATCATACCGACTGGAGAACCAGAACTCGAAATGAAGACTGCAAGGGCGTACTTCTCCTGAAAGTAGAAAGTTACTTCGGCATGGATGAGATCCAATGTACAGGCTATCCCTGTTCCTGTTGGAGTTAAGAAACAAAAGATTCTTGTTAAATACAAGGTATCGTTCCGTCTGCGATCCGGTTAAGGATTGGTGTTTGTTCCCAAACGATAAGACGGTGCTTGTGTAGAATTACAAGCTGAGGAGATTGAAACACTTTCTCGGTGACAGACCACCACAGCACGCCTCAAGGCAACTTCATCCCTTGATGCACTATCTGACACGGGGCCACTTTCATTAAATGTTGAATAGGCCTATATTCACGTTACATGCGTTCAAGATGTACTTTTTTTTCTCGACCTGGGATAGTCTGAGCAAAGGTGAGTTAACAATTTTAACATCTTTACGCTCACGTACGTATAGAGGTTACAGACCAGTAAATAATCAACCATAGACCCCAATGATAAATGTCCCCACTTCAACAATTCAGGAAAAATACTCACAACCCTCCAAGGTATTCCAGACACACATCACATTAAAGCTAATTTCATTATCTTTTATTTCATGATTTTCAATTTTTTTGGGGGGGGGTTAACATGACTTTTAGGAGAAATTTCCATCAGAAGATGATCACCCCTTGAAATGGTCTGAAGCCCATCGCCATTTTGAAAAACGACGCCTACACTCCATTAAAAAATAGAGCGCTTTTAGGGCTCCAATTTCATCCAAATTGCACAGAGCTACAAGCTCACAGTCCTGTGCACGGCTTCCATCCATATTTTTTTACAAACCCTCAAGTTCACGGCCCACAATATGTTCAAATAGCGAAGAATTTGAGGGCATGCAAACCGATTTCGGACCGATTTACTGGCCTGCAACCGTAGGGCTCCGCGTTCGACGCGACGGCGTGACGTGCCAGCGTAATGAAAAAGTAGGCCAATCAGACTACGGGAAAGGCGGCATCGTTGGGGCACGCGCACATAGCAACCAGGATTTCAGATACATTGAGGGCGCTGCCTATCATGCACGTGTGGTATGAAGTCCGCCCGGTCTCAAGTTTCGGGCTGAGCCAGAGATTTACCAGTTCATTCCAGTCTAAAATGGGGCTCAAACCACGCTGGTTCACGTGTGCCTTGAGAAAGTATCATGGCCTACCAGGAAAGTCGCTCAGTACTTTGTCGCTGAGGGCGGGGTGTTGTAATCCATATAAAATACATGTACTCTGCGGAGAACTTGTAAGATTTCCATTCTCCGTACCTGACTTATATCGTCTAAATTTCTTTTCAAACGTTGTGCCAGTCTTACCAGAAACAACGGCCAGTGATATAGCAAAGATGGCGACACTGGGCGTTAAAGCAGACACCACCAGACCAACTCCATAGAGTGTACCGCCAACAAGAATCAAGGAGCGGATGCCAAGTTTGCGTGCCAGAGCAGCCGCAAGGGGTGCTGAAAGGAAAGAACATTTGATCTAATTAATTATATTTTACAAACAGCTGGCATCAAAAACCTATTTCTATACTTTTCAAGGTAAAAATTACATTTTTTTTCTAAATCAAAATTAAGCTTTGCCAAAGTTTCCAGGTAGGCCTATATTATATTATACAAATGGCCCGGAATGATGATCTATAGAGAAGTTGTCGATCTGTCCCAGAAGAGTGTCAGATTAAACGTTGACTGGGATTTGTTTTTTTTTATGACCTGCTCACATTAAGGAGCACCAGTTGAAAACAAGCATAATATCCCATGGGGATAGCTAAAGTGCTTGTTTCAACAGACCATCCCACAATAAAAAAACAAGAAATAAGAAGAGAAACAATAGTTATTGGACTATGCCTCACTCACTAGACAGTGAAGAGAGACATGTCTATTAGCATCACACTGCAGTCACATTTGCCCTAAACTGATTCTTTACTCAATGTACTTATTTACTCTACATTATTTTGAAGGACTGCAAGCCCTGGTAATGTATGTCTGAAAGAACTGATGACGGTAGACTGTTCCAGATCTTCACTGCTGCAGGAAGGAAAGCTCTATCAAAACTTCGCAGAGTTCTTGCTGCAGTCATACCCTGGGGGACCGGGGACTGAAGAGCATGTTTGTTGAGTAGCATGGATTGACTGGTTTGTCGAGCAGCAGGTGGCCTTACAGGTGGGACCATGGGTTTCAGCAAGGTTGGGCACTTGCTGCACTGCATCCTATATAAACAGGAGACTGCTGCAACATTTCTTCTATGGGATAAGCTGCTAAGATTATGCCTCAGTTGCTCTTGCTGGCGTAATCATATTAGGCGGCATGCTCTTCTTTGGATTTATCAAGAGCCGAGAGGTGGACTGTGCTAGCTCCATCCAGGCTAGAGGTGCGTACTCCATCTTGCTTCTGATATAAGTCTTGTAGATGGTAACAAGACCTGCCTTGCTGAAGACTGGACCCAGTCTCCGCAACATTGAAGTACGCTGACCAGCAGTGCGAGTGACAATCTTTAGATGTGTCTTCCATTCTAGTTTGCGAGAGAAAGTAACCCCAAGAAGTTTCATCTCCGGTTCATTACTGACAACTTGGCCTTGGAACATTATAGGCGGATGATTTTGGATGTCCTTCATGTTGGACACAGTGAGACACTGACTCTTGGATGGTTCAAATTCAATTTTCCAAGTCTGTCCTCAGTTGCTAATTCGTTCCAAGTCTTCCTGAAGTTGTTCAGCAGCTGCTAGCCTCATGCTTGATCTTACTTCAGAAGGTGAGTGTTTTATTAATGTGAATATTGTGATGTCATCAGCATAGGCAAGAATTTCTGAATAGCGGATCACATCACGTAGAACTTCGATGTAGATCAGGAACAGAGAAGGACCAAGAATACTGCCTTGGGGAACATCAGCATTGACCTCATAGCAGGTTGACTTCTGTCCAGCAACCACTACCTCAAGATGTCTGAATAGATAAATAACTCCAGGTAAGCAGTTGGCCAGTGATTCAGAATGAATCTAGTTTTTGAAACAGACCTTGATGCCATACTCTGTCAAAGGCACATTCTGATGTCCAGGGCGACCACTCGAGCTTCACCTCTCTCATTTAAGATGGTGCACCACCGATGAGACATATAGGTGAGGAGATCAGAGGCAGAGTGGAGCCTTCTGAATGCAAATTGGTTGTCTGATATGAGGTTGTTTTGAAAAAGATGTTTCTGTAGTTGATCATTTATGATGCTCTCCTTTACCTTGCTGATGGTAGATAGTAGAGAGATCAGCCGATAGTTTTAATGGGCAAGATCGACTATTTTCTTGTGCACAGGAACAACTGATGCAACTTTCCACTGGGAGGGGAAATAGCCTCTGCTGAAGCTGAATCGGAAAAGTTTGGCGAGTGGAGCTGCAAGTTTTAAAGCGCAGTTCCTCAAAACCTTGGCAGAGATACCATCAGGGCCTGATGCTTTGTTCTGATCCAGCTTTTTCAACTTTCTTTTTATGTCTCGTGGCCTGAAAGTGACATGGCTGAGGTGTTCAGCAGTACGGTCCTGGATAACAGGTGGTGGATCATCTGCAGAGTTGAGATTACAAAGGTTTGAGCCAATATCTCGGCTTTCTCTTGAGCAGTTGAGAAAGCGATGCCATTTCGTTGCAGAGAGGGAATTTCTGTATGACCTCCAGTGCCAGAGAGTTGCCGAACTGTCCATCACCAATCTCTGTCTTTTCCATTTTCGACCAGTCTATTCCTCATTAAATTTCATTGAAAAAGAGGGAGTTTTCTGCATAAGCCCTTTTGGCTTAAAAGTTGTTGGTGATTATAGCGTTCGCGCGTAATAGGGCGTATAAGCGCCCATATAATAATACGTCCATCTGCCAGGCACACGACGTGATTATAATAAATACATTTTTACTGTAGGCCTAGTAGAATCAAAATGTCATTATGGTCAAGTTAGCGGTTCAATTTACTTGTTCTATACACTCTTGAACAATTGCTGACCGCATGAAACCTTACTGTGTCAGTGGTCCATGAACATTATAGTCAATCCTATATCGTATGGGTCATAGCTCCCGTTAAGCCCCTGTCACACCTTTGCGTATCCTAATTCCTTATGAGTTCCTTATCAAATTTTTTTCAATACACAGCCGTACGCTCAATTAACGTCGAAATGTTTGATCACTTTGACTTATGTGCGACGCACATCTCGCGTACAAGTAACGAATTCAGCGCATCCATTGCGTATGAGATGCGTATGAGTTGCGGTTGCAGTGCACAACATTATTTTTCGGGCTGCGAATAGGTCAGTATTCAGTGCGCATGCCGAGCGTATTCCGGACGCACCCGACTTATGCCGACCGTATGCTTGACACACTTCTTAGCGTATTCCCGCCGCATTTCCGCCGCTCGCCGTTCAGCGTGCGATGCATCTGCGCTGCAAGTACGCTATGTATACGTCAAATAGAGGCGGCTCCTTATGCTGACGGGGTGCGTCACGAACACATAGCGTACTCGTAACGCACTCGACCGATGCGGGACCGATGCGCTGCGTATCATAACTTATGACCTGCGTAACATGACAGGGTACGCAGCGTAGTTTTGTGCATGCCCAAAACTATCCTGCGTACTGGGCCGTACCATGCGTATATCTGCGTACATAAAACCTACACAAAACGATAGAGATGCATATGAGGTGCGTATTGTGCTTACGACTGCGTATGAAAAAAATGTCAATGCGCAACTCATAAGGAATTAGGATACGCAGAAGTGTGACAGGGCCCTAAGGCAAAGCTATACCTAATGATCCCCATTACGCCTATCATGATGGAGCCTTTTATTTTGAAGCAAAAAGTCTTGACATGTTTTGCCTGTCTATGTCCTAACGTACTTGTCATACAAAAGACACCAAACAATACAACAATAAGAAAACGCGTGTTTCCCCGAAGTAAATTTTAAAAAAGATACAAAAACAAACAAACAAACAAACAACCCAACAACCCCAATACAACCCAACAAACAAACAAATCAAACAGGTGCGCGTTGCGGGTCACTCGGAGGCTTTCTTTGATAGTTTAGTAATAATGATTGCACAAATGGTTTACTCCTGCCAAGCGATACAAAACCATTGCCCTCCGACTCCACATAAACGCATAAGGTAAAGAACATGCTGCCTTACACATGATATACTGTACTGCATAATGAAGCGAGACTATGGAGCCGACGACCCACAACTCCGTACCGAAATCCTCCTTCATAGAAGTGATCAGAATCGCCAGAGCCTTCAGGTTGCCGAAAGCGATAAATTCCGTCACAAAGCAGGCTAGTACGACCGCCCAGCCCCAACCTCCTTCCCGGTGACTCGGAGATGTCGCCATCTCTGCTATTATGTCACTTCGCTCCTCAAGATGGCAAGCGGCGAACTGTACATTTGATATGCAAGGTATATAAGAAGCCAACAAGTGGGAAATAATGTAATCTATATATATAAGAGAGAAGTTTACTCGCCTCCGAGACAATGTTTGCTCCTGAAAGGATCCGAGACCGCGGGCTCCCGCGGCGCCAAAATCGCTCCACGTCCGTGGAAAAATGCGGAGGGTGTCTTCCGCCGGGTCGGACACTTCGGGTCGTCCTGATTTTCCGGTACGGACCGGCGATCCGTTTCGTCGATTTTTCGTGACTGCGTTTTGCGCAGGAATTTGCCGTCATGTGCGCTTTCACGTTGACTACCTGGCCGCCCCCTGTGCTGGCTTTTTCTGCGTGTCTAGACTGTGCGAGGTCAGCGGCCTCGACGTAGAAATCCTTCCTCGATACCGCGTTACCGTGATAATTTATCACATAAATCCTGAATTCAGAGATACGTATTCCTCGATACCGCGTTACCGTGATAATTTATCACAGAAATCCAGAATTCAAAGATAATTCCTTCCTCGTTACCGATTTGTCTTTGAATTCCGGATTTCTGCGATAAATTATCACAGTAACGCAGTATCGCGGAAGGCAATTCAAGCTTCCGTAGTTTTGCAAAAGAGTTCACCAAACGGAAGCATGGGGGTGACCTTGGCAAAATATTTTTCTCCATGGTGCGTGGCCATCAAGTGTCCCTATTATTTCATATGCTTCGCTTGCCGCCCCTGCGCCGAGTGCAACGAATACTCAGAAGGACCACACATTAGTATGCTTTGCGCGGTCTGACCAATCGAAAGTCTACACTGCGTAGTACTTCCGAGCTATGCGTAAAACCGTCGACGGCAACGCGTACTGCAGCCTGCTACACATAACACCCTGGAAACGAGGTTGGGTCTACGGTGCTCGCTGTTTGCAGCGCAAGCATGTGACGTGATATAGGGGTGCACACCGGTAAATCGATCCGCCAAGCTCATGAATAAAAGTTATTACCTCCAAATATTCTATATTAGAGAGTTCTGAGCGCCGTAAAATTGGGGAATTGAAGAGATATGGTAATGAACCTCTGGCCCGGACTTGGGGCTTCCATTTCTGAGCATTTTGGATGCTATTGGGCTCGAAAGTGGCGCTATTTTGCCATGTTGTGGAGGGATCGTTTTTCAAGATGGCTACTTTTCCGCTTTGGGGAAAATAAAGGTCGTCTTCTTTGCGTGAAAATATCTCGAAAAGTCAATGGTCAACCCACCATAAATTGAAAAGAAAATGAAAGATGACACATTGATCATCATTTTTATGTGCAGCTTGAATACCTGTGAGAGTTTTGAGTATTTTTAAAAGAATTTTTAAAAAGAAGTTGTTTTTTGAAAAAGAAGTATGGGCATTTAGCACTAGTGTCTATGGGAGTTTATTTGCAGGTATGCACCCATAGTGTTCTGTTGCTTCCATCATGTGTTTACAGCTCCATGCATCCACCAAGGCTGACCGTTGTGAGTTCGCTGCCCGCCACGTATAATTCAGTGTCGCGTTATAATTTCAGGGGCCTGTTTGGGGATCAACGAAGGATCGATGCATTGCTTCAAATACCGCGATCTTAAACGCAGTCACAAACAAATCGACAAAAAAGTGTCCGACCCGGTGGAAGACACCCTCCACATTTTTCCACGGACGTGAAGCCGCGGTCTCGGATTCTTTCAGGAGCAAACATTTCTCGGAGGCCGAGTAAAACTTGCTCTTATAGATGGTTGAACCAACTTGAATAAAAGTTGAATCGACTTTTTCCTCGCAGACGGTCTCACAAATTGTAAGAAGTTCAACTTTACGTTTGTTGAAGAGTCCAATACTGAAACTTAATTATGACCTTCCGCCATGATTCAGACCGTTTGTAATTTTATGGTAACACTCAACATTTTCATTTCAAATGACACCTTTACGTTTTATTGCATTATGATTTATTGTCAAAACTGTACAATCAGCCTTCGCCTGTGTACTACAGTAACCTTTTCACTACGTTTTCCAAATGCGACTGCCTCACAAATGCGACTGATTCTATGCTCAGAATACATGTAGCTGATTCAGTTACTCCAAACTCAAAAACTTTAACAGATGATCTTCTGCTCAAATTGGTTTTAGTGGTCAGAAATTGCCTCAGATCACACCACAGAAATTGCTTTACTATAACTGCATGTCTCCCAACTATATCCCCCATTTACATTTTACTCCCCACATTTTCATCCCCAACACTACGCCCTACCCGATCTATGATCGGGTAAATCAGCTTGTCTATATATATAAGAGAGAAGTTTACTCGCCTCCGAGACGATGTTTGCTCCTGAAAGGATCCGAGACCGCGGGCTCCCGCGGCGCCAAAATCGCTCCACGTCCGTGGAAAAATGCGGAGGGTGTCTTCCGCCGGGTCGGACACTTCGGGTGGTCCTAATTTTCCGGTACGGACCGGCGATCCGTTTCGTCCATTTTTCGTGACTGCGTTTTGCGCAGGAATTCGCCGTCGTGTGCGCTTTCACGTTGACTTCCTGGCCGCCCCCTGTGCTGGCTTTTCTGCGAGTCTAGGGCCAAGTTCGGGCAAGGACCATTAGTCGACTAGTGGTTGATTTGTGACGTACCTTACGCCTGCGCACTAATAGCAACGTGCGAACGTCTCTAGTCTAACGCTGGTCAAAATGTCATCGCAAAACTTCTGGACCGCTGGTCCTGGAGGAAACAGACAACGAATTGACGCTCACTCTGGTATTGCTCGACACGGACTGCCGTGCGGCAGGGCTGCACAATGCTGCCCCGCCACCGGTCACGCCTGACTGGTTTATTATGCAACACTTATAAACATAGTCATTACGTGTATTCACTACACTTCCACTAGCTGCTTCCACCAAGGCTGAGCGTTGTGAGTTCGCTGCCCGGCCCGCCACGTCACAGTACAATACAGTGTCGCGTTATAATTTCGGGGGCCTGTTTGGGATCAACGAAGGATCGATGCATTGCTTCAAATATCCGGCGCGATCTTGAACCATGAACACAGTCACAAAAAAATCGACAAAACGGATCGCCGGTCCGTACGGAATAATTAGGACGACATGAAGTGCTTGATTTGGCGGAAGAAATTCTCCGTATTTTTCTAGCCATTTTGGCGTCGCCGGAGATAGCCTTGACCAAGGCTATCACTTGTTCCCATACGAGCTTGTTCCCGCTACCGCACACCGCGCGCGCCGCGACACAATCACTAGTTGTACTATACCGTTAGCCTCAACGACCCTTGCGTGTGCTTTGTGTGCATGTACGTACGCCCCACACACACTTCCGCAAACAGCCGTACAGTAAGTCGAGGCGGCAGATAGCCTTGACGCAACCGTGGCGAATTCTTATGTGTTTCTTTATAGTTTCGACCGAAATCGGCCGAACATTTCTGATGCGCATATATTACACGATTTCCAATCAAAGCCCGTAATCTTTGACCCGCGACATACATATTCAGACCCGCAAATTACTGTATACACCACGCACATGTATGTTCACTCAAACCATGGTATGTCCAGGTATTTCAATCCCATTTTAAACCATTTCTCCAGTTTTATTACAAACAAATGAAATATGCCGCTATATGAGTGAACAATTGTTCAAAATGATATTATTTCCAATGTATTGCGAATTGGACAGTTCAAGACAGTCCGCCGACGTTTTGTCGGTGCAACAGCGTACATTATCACGCCGCTACCTGCCCGTGCTATTCTGACAGCGAATGTAGGGAACAGGTCAACTCGGACCCAGGTCAAATCGTACCCATTTAATCGAATGCAGGTTAACTCGTATCTATAAGCACCCGTATGAATTAACTGCAAGAAACGAGCTATTGACTTTGGGATGGAAATAGACGAAACTGTCAGGTACATGGTGAAAAAAACTCTCCCTGAATTCGTACCATGTGCAACATACATCTCATACGTACGACACATGTATTTTAACGCGTACGTATGAATCGTATGTCGTACCTACGACATACGTACGACATGTAAGTCGTAGATGTAAATCGCACAAGTCGTTCTCACAAGATATGTTGTATGTACGACATAATCGACAAACAAGTCGAACATACGAGTTACAATTCATATTTTGTACACACGAGATATTAAGTCGTACTTATATACACGACTTTGTCATATGCGACATATATCGTACCCTGTCGACTCGACTTATGCACGACATATATATGTCGTACACCTGTCGACATTATGTCATATGTTTGATATGTCATACCCTGTGGCAGTGATGTAGTGCCTTGATGCTGGGCCTTGGCCTTAAGGCTGCCTTAAGGCTGGAGTTTAAGGCCTTGGCCTTGGCCTCGAGGCTTGAGGGCAAAAGCCTTGGCCTTGGCCTTGGCCTTGAGGGTTCAGGGCCTTGCAATTTTGAGTCAAGGCTCTTCAAGGCCCATAGATTTTTGCATTTTCCAGATAAATCTGTTCGAAATTTTGCTGTTACCATTTTAATCGTATTACCATGGAGGAGGGAAGCACCCTATAGATTTGTGTGTTGGGCACACTTCCACTTTTGTAGCATCACATTTTGTTACCATTGTAGTATATTTGCTGCAAAAATATTCCGTACACTTATGGGGCTAATGAGATGATCACTTTAATTGCATATAACTATGGAATAGATCTGATTGGTTGTATATGTCTCCCTGATAAGTGCTAAAGATTTGCATGTATCTGTTTTAGATAATGCTGATATTTCTGACCATGTTGGGCCAGCAAATAAAAAAAACCCAAATCAGATTCTTGGATCCCCCTTTTGTTACACTTGGGAGAAGTGTGTGTCAATATAGAAGTAAATCATTATTTTGTTTAGCTAAACCATATTGAAGACCTGAAAAAACCAATTTTTTTTATGTGACGTCGTAATAAAGGCAGGCAATGAGTACACCACCATCTTTTCCTCAAAAAACATCGGTTAAAATGGTCAGAAATTGCCTCAAATCGCACCACAGAGCATCTCGAATCCAAAAATTTTTTCGGGGCCCTTAAGTGGGCCCTGAAACC